GCTCACAGGTAAGAGGCTCTGGCTGTTGTGTTGTCGGCGGTTGTCGGCGGTTGTCTGCGGTTGTCTGCGGTGGTCGCCGGTCCGTCCCTCCATTGTGATTGGAGTATTCTTGTTTCTTGACGTGCAGAATTCATGGCAGGCGCAGCACTTCGTGAACCTCCATGTGCAGAAGTCGTGGCAGGCGCAGCACTTTGTGAACCTCCATGTGCAGATTTCGTGGCAGGCACAGCACTTTGTGAACCTCCATGTGTAGATTTCGTGGCAGGCACAGCTTACAACGAGGTTCAGGTGGCCCAGGTTTGTTACAATGAGGTTTGGTTCATCGGTTGTCCCTCTTCACTTGGTTCTTCTTCATCGGCAACCACACGCGCACACACTTTTCGTCTGTCTCGCCTCTTTCATTTTCATCTGTCTCTTTTGCGCGCGCATGTGCCTTGCCTCCTTTCCGGGCAGGATGGAGGCCACACATGCCTCCCTTCGGGGAGGCGTGTGTGTGTAACCTTTCAAATCACAGGGAACCCTCGGGTTTGGAGCAGGGGACCAGGCCAGATACATCGTCGCCTGGTCAACGAAGCCGGCGATGTATCTGAGGATATGGAAATGGGACGCCATTTCCACGTACCTGCTCCACTATTCAGGAAAACAGGAGGAAATGGTACTCGACACACTTGTGTGTCGGTGCCTTTCCTTCTGCTTTCCTCTACTCTACCCTGTGGGTTTGCAGGTAGGCCTCCTAACTTTGTAATGGGGATCTTTAACCCGAACTTTGGCCTCCATCCACTAGAATTGGCCCCCAACCTTTGCTGTCTTGTGTGTCTTGTGTTTCTTGTGCTTCTTGTTACCAACCTACTAGCGTTGGCCCCCAACCTGCTTTCGACGGCCTCCAACCTAAGAGCGAAGACCCCTCACTTTGACGGTTTTGCAGTTTTGGTTCTTGTCACCAACTTACTAGCGATGGCCCCTTAACCTGCTTTCGACGGCCTCCAACCTAAGTGAGAGGACCTCCAACTTTGACTGTTTTGACTGTTTTGCTGTCTTGTTTCTTGTCACCAACCTACTAGCGATGGCCCCTCAACCTGCCTTCGATGGCCTCCAACCTAAGAGCGATGGCCTCCAACTTTTGTGCCTCGTTTTACTCAAGCCTTTTTTAAACCTAGGTTGGCGTGTGGCGCCGCTTTCAGTTCAGTACACCAAATCATAAGTGTGTGTGTCCACACCTGTCTCTAAGGTTCGCGCATTTCATGCGTCATTGGTACTAATTCATTCCGAATGCAGCAGGGGGTAGCGGCAGATCATTTGGGACCGCTGCCAGCGAAGACGCCCACTTGATCTGGTGACATCAGAGTTGGCCACTCTGACGTACCCGCGCCAACTGTTTCAAGCGTGGTAAAGGGCTACTGCGTTTGTTAAACAATTCTTCTCTCCGACCCAGCATCCTTTCAGCTCTGCAAGTCAAGGGCTAGATATTCAGTAACTAGAGTGCTAGGTAGTCAGTAACTAATTCCTGGAACTTCTTTCACTGACTCAGCTCTTGCGAGCATCTCTCTAAGTGGGTGTGTTGTCACCCTCCGTCTCTAGGAGTTTGTTCACTGTTCTTTTCTATTTTCGCGCAGGGGCGTGCAGCATCTGTGGTCCACTGCACGCAACGAAGCTAAGACCACAGATGGGAAGGGATCAAGGACGCTTGATCCTGTACCTGCTCGATAACACACTGACTCCACTCTTCCCGCGCTTTCTGTTGGTTCCATTGTCGTTCTCCATGATACTTCCCCCCGAGCCCACTTTATTGCCGCGCTTGCAGCCTGTCACCATTCAACCACGCAATTGCGCTGACCTCATCCATTTCACGGTGGATTGTGACTAACTGAAAACCCTGTGACTAAGTGTGTATCGCTGTGTCTCCCCACTGGGTACACAGTGTGTCCCCCCTCGTCTCCAGGAGGTTTTCTGTTTGTCCCGAAAAGCAGGGGGCCATCCCTAAGAGGCCAATGGTGAGAGCTGTAAACGTACCTGCAGTTCTACACAGGGTAACAGCAGGAAATGGTACTCGACACACTGTGTGTGTCGGTGCCTTTCCTTCTGTTGTCCCTTTTCTAGTCTACTCTACCCGGGCGGTATCGACCCCTAACTACTGCACGGCCGTAATTCAAGACCGCTAAGTATTCAGTAACTAGTAGTAAAGGGCTAATGCGAAACAACATGTTAAAACCTTTATCATACTGGATGAACCCGTGTCTGAGTGTGCCTATCTGTGTGAACCAGTGTGAACCTGCATATTTCCCTTGGGGAATTCTGCGTGGAAAGGCAAACTTTTGTCCTGGCGGTGTATGTTTTCGTTTTGCGTAGACCGTATCAACTGCCTTCACCGATTGAAATCACACCGTGACCACCCAGCCTTGACACGATCAATAGGATCAAACTTGAGTTGGTAGATCTTGCTCTCGATCTCATTCTCGGATGGATCCCACACGGAGTTACTAGACATCTCCACTTCCTCTGGAGCCTCCTCACAGCAAGTGCTGAGTTGCTAGGGGTCATGAGCGAGGCATGGTCACACGGCCTCTAGCTTGTAGTTCCCAAACAGACGACATCTCATGACACAAAGACCACAAGCAGAACACGAAGCCCCAGTCACCCCATAATACTCTTGCGCGTCCTGCTGGAGATCAGGAGCAGCATCTAACTGATCATCCTGCCATGCAAAGTCTGTTGATGAAGCCAAAGCTTACAAACGCTTGATCGACACTTCCCTACTAGCACCACCCCACCACACTGTACTCTTTCACCTCCTGCCGGATTTCAAGAGCAGCAGCATTTGCCGCATCATCCTGCTGCACAGTGTCATCAGCTTAAGCACAGTGCGACGCCAATCAAGCTAGAAACATGAAGTGCAAAAAACGATATCAAGATTTCAACTTCCATATAAGAAAATTCCTGCATCTATGCAAAAACAAGATTAGTATTCATCTCATTGTTGGGAAGGGCATCCATCTTAGTTGCCCAATTCAATGCAGCCTCCTATCTATGTAGTTAGAGACTTGCTACAATCGTTTGATCTGATTGGGTTTGTGCCAAAAGCTGTGTCAGCATTCAGACCTTCACTTGTCAGCCGAGACACTCTCAGAGCTTGGGCAGCTGCATCCTTCCCTACCTCTGAACGAAGCAAAGCCAATCAAGCAGGACACATGGAGTTCAAAAACGAGATCACTGTCTCAATTTCACTTTCAGTGGACACCTTCTCTGCAAAAGTAGCACTATTGATCTCATGTTGAGAAGGGCATCCATCTTAGTTGCCTATGTAGAGACTTGCTACAATCGATCGATCTGTTTGGGTGTGTTCCAAAAGCTGTGTCAGCATTCAGACCATCACTTGCTAGCCGAGACACTCTCAGAGCTTGGGCAGCTGCATCGTTGCGAAACTCTTCCTTCCCTACTTCTGAACGATACTCTTCCTTTTTGAATTGTAATGTTGCCAGAAACTCTAGCCAACCTCCTGTGACGTACTTGTTGACCACCATGGCCAAATGCTGCGCTCTCGTAATGCCCACGTAAAGCTTAGCCCTAGTCATCAAATCCACCTCTGCACCCTTGCCCTGAACCTCTTCATCCAGGCCAATGCACACAACCATCAAATGTTCGTGTCCTCTGGCATTATCGATGGTGTCCAGCAGAATAAGCTCCTCCTGTCCTTCAAAGAACTTTGTGGGCACGAAACTCAACGATTCTTCAAAGGAAACAAGGCGGAAGCGTCTATGTCTGAAACCCACTTCTAGCTGCTCTTGTAGACTGTCTTTGATCTTGTCCAAGAAGCGTTGACCTGGGACTAGCATGGCTAGGCGACCATGAAGGCTTCTAAGGCCTGGGTACACTTTGGCCAGATGTGATAATGTCTTCTTGGTGTACTGGCAGTACATGTTCATCTCCTCTTCTTTGCTGTTGTGTGTTCTCTCAAAGATAAAGCTCTTGAGTGCTGGGCCATCTGGGCCAATGCTTGAGACCTCCTGTGTCTCGCCGATTTGAAATGCTGATGCAGCCCTCACAAGACGCTCCGTGCTCCGAACGACTTCCGAAAGGCTTTCTCTCGCATATTCGGGATATTTCTCATCCAGGTTTAGAGCAGAACACTGCGACTGGTCTGAAAGAAGGAGCTTCTTCTTCGCATTGATTTGGTCCAAAAGGTGGCCGAAGCCTTCTCGAACAAGCTCGTGGCACTCATCAAAGACTGCCAGCAAGAAATCCGGAGTGTGCACGTTCTCGCCCTTGGTGTTCTGAACGATCTTATTGCCCTCAATACGCAAAGTAACCAAGTCCTCATAAGGCTTTTGAAGCAGTACTATCCTTTTCATGATTAGGTTCATTGCCTCATGGATTGATAGCTCTGTGAGTGTTGAATGTCTGACAGCAAGCCATCGAACGAAGTAAAGTCCAAGTGAGATTTGGAGAGATACGAATAACATTTGACCAGAGGAATTTCGGTCGTCCAACTTCAACTCGTCCAAGGCATATTGGATCGCTACAAATGTCTTGCCACATCCTGCGGGAGCCGTCAAGTGCAAGTTCTCGCCCAGCTGCTTGAGATTCTGCAGCTTCTGCTCTTGATGATCCGTCAGCTTTGACAATGTCAATAGGCTTTTCTCATAGCGTTCCAAAAAGTCGGATTGGTCAACATGGATTTGTGCAAAGGCACTGTGCTCTTTCGACAAGGCCAGGTCCAAAGCACCGCTTAGGACTTTGTTTCTTAAGGCTTGTGCGACCTGCACTTTCTCGGTGGTCACTTGGAACATCAAGGACGGGGTGCCATCTCGAAGGTGGGATTGAACTGGAGCCTGAACCTGGATTCCTTCTGAAGACCGCTCCACCATCGCTTCCAAAACACTCTTCAAGGTCTCTTGCAGGCCCGCCTGCTCGGCAACCTGCTTCAATGGGTTCTCCAAGTGCCGAACGTGCTTCGAAGCAAACAGCTTGTTCGTCTTGTCGCACTTCACTATCCACTTCGGCCCCTAAACTCTGCTCAAGGTCTCAGAACTTTGAGAATCAGGTATCGTCAACACCATGGTTCCTTCTCGCCAGCTGCCATCGGTGGGATCTTCAGCAAACACCTTGCAGTTCGGATGAAATTCCTGAAATAAGAACCGCTTCACATCGATTTCGTCGTAGTCCCAAGTGTCTCCTTCAATCTTCCGCATGGCCTCCACATAGGCAATCTCGGCTTTTTGGCTGCCACCGCAGCCCACACCGTCCCAGAGATCTCTGAAGGATAGCTCGTCCCAGGCCACCTTGCCCTGGCCCCTCTGCCCAGGGAAAAAGACCACTTGCAGTCTTTGGCCAAGCTGCACTGCCTGTTTCACCTTCAGGGTTCAAAGCTCTGATGGTGTAAATGGACAGCACCCGAATCATGCTCCTAAGCACAGAAAACAGATCACTATCTCTAGGAAGGAAGAAGACAGTCCGCTAGATGAAATGGCAAAGCTGAAGGCACAGTGGCGTATAAAAGGGTACCTTGATCCAGACTTGTTGCATCTAGATCACTCTTCATCAGTTGATTGCGGCATGGCTGGGCGCTGCAGATCTGTGATGTCGAGGGAACTTTTTTTGCGAATTGGTGAAGAATACAAGACCAACTTTGGTATCACAATCCCGTCTTTGAGTCTTTGAGCTCGCGGTTGATGCCTACTTTCGTTTCTTTCGTTTTGACTTGCCTGATGGCACCTGGCCACTGTTTAGCTGATTGCAATACCACAGGAAGCAATCTGAGGATTGGCTGCGCTGGGGTTGCTAGGGCTTTGGCAAGACCATCTACGAGCAAAACTGTTTGCAGTTAGACAGGCCCCCCTTGTGACCCGGCGAGCCCTGCACCTGCTCCATCCAAACGACGAACCACTCGCAACCCCAGGAAGCGACCTTCCCATACTTCTCCCAGGCTTTCTTGGCTTCTTCCTCATACGCCTTCCTTTCTTCTGGGGTGGCATGAAAAGGGACCACAATGGCATGGGTACATTTCGCGTTCTCCAGTGCTTGCTTGAGTTTTTCCGGATCAGGGTCCTTCATCTCGACCAGATAGCCGAACTGCTTGAAGTTTCTCTCGCCGTAGATCTGGCTACACCAGCACTTCCCACTTCCATCATCTTTATGCTTGCCAAGGCCAGTCTCGGGGGTGGTCAAGAAAACACAAGCGACGGATTCACCATGCAATGCAGCCACCAAAGCATCCCACCCTGAAGCAAACTTCCCTGGAAAAGAAATGATGCAAAACGTGGCTTCTCTTCGAATGTTCCCCTCGAAGGCAATGTCACCGGTCTTGTCAATGACAGATGCCTGCCCATTCATGACGAAGTGCAGTGCAAAGTTTTCCTTCACTCGCTCACTAGTGGAAGAGCCACCGATAGTTTGCGAGTCCTCATGATCAAACCCAATCGTTTCTGTTTTCTTCTTTGCCATGAGATAGCTAGACTTGACTGGCTGCCTGTGAAACCTGAAACCAAACATGCTGCTTCTGCACATGTCTAGCGCTCTACAACTCGATGCATCAAATCAAACAAGGGTCCTTGGCAGAAGATCTGCTGCCAGCTTCAGGAAACTTACCAACAAGTTTGTCGTTCTTTGCTTGCATCGTTGTGAGAACTTCTCGCAGCTTTTGCTCAGCTTCCTCTTTCTTGTCCAACTGTTGCAACAGAACCGCCAGGTCTGTCTTCGTGTTCAAAGTATCCACATAGTCCTGTGCGCACGAGGCATGACTCCAAATGAGTCAGTCCAACAGCTGGAGACAGGTGGAGACAGTGGAGACAGAATCAATTTGGAAGTTGCCAGGTTAGATTTCACTGACAGAATGAGCAGGTGGGATGGTTGAAGATGGGAAAGGACAAACTCACGTGGGTTGAATGCCATCAAACACTACAAGGTGAGATCAACACAAATTTCCTCAGTGAGCTGGTAGATTGATAAAATCAGCTGAGGCCTGTTTAATAATCGAGGCACCTTGTTCACCCAATTACTCTATGCATTCTACAAAATCATTTCTTGCCATCTTGTGCTCTCAGCAAAGTAAACAGGACTCAAATTCAGCTTTAAAAGCTAATTCTTGCCAGAGGTTCCCTCTCTCACCCCAAGTCCTTCCCAAGCCATTTCTCTTTTATGTCTAGGACTTCCTTCACCATCCACTCCTGGACAGGTTTGCAGGTTTGAAGCTTCGTTGGGTATCAAGCAGTCAAAGACTTCTGACACTTAGAAAGCTGCCAAACAAGTCTCATTGGTTCGAATTTCTATTGACTTGGGCAGTGTGCTACAGCAGCTTGTGGACAGCGCGACTGCTCTCATTCCACACCCATAGTATTGGATCGTCACGGGCATCGACTGCTACCTTTGTCCACATTGCCGCTCCTTGTCTTTCAGATTTTTGAAAAGGCATGGAAGCAAAGCAACGTTCTCAATCTCTTGGATGATCTTCTTATGGATCTCAAGCTCGCTCTCCTGAAGACCAAGAACATCCACACTTCTGCTGCCAGGTATGCATTAAAGGTGTTATTCTTGTACAACTCCTTTAGACCCCGCCATTATCACAGCCATGTCCTCAGACGTGGCACAATCTTCGAGAGCTCCCTCCAGGTTGCGCAAAGCACGCTTGACTTCTTTCATGATCTTTGGGTCGAGTCTGCGGGGCCGTATCTTCTGTACTTCGTTGAGTATGATCTGCTCGGCAGGCAACTGAAGCTCCTTCCAGTACGCCTGAAAAAAGCTTTTGGCAGGAGGCCATCGTTCTTAGATTCCTTAAAGTCTTCTTCTTAAAGTCCTTTTTCTAAGGCTGAAAGGATTCCCAAAAGCTTCAGCTCAACTGCTCTGGCCTTGCAATTTGAAACACCCTCCTTGAGCGCTTTCTCAAGCGAGTCCTTTCAGGCGAGGAAATGACACATCAGCAGCTCAGCGTGTGCATGCCGGGTCTATGATTCACATGCTCAACCACAAGCTTTCCTAATGAACACTTCATCCTCCGCAAGTAGCGACAGGAAGAATATCATTAGCATCCCCATCAAACAGTCAGTTCTTTCATTCTTGTGAAACGCATCCTCTCGACCCAGCACTAAATCACTTGCCAGGAGCAATTTTCGCGGTGCAAAAACCAGACAGAAAGAGCCCCTCTGCCTTCAGAGCTTCAGTTCGCACATCGCTCTTCGCATCGTTGGTCTTAGCCTTCACAAGAAAAGACTTCAAGCAAGAACGGCTGGCTTAGAAGAAAATTGGAACACATTCTGTTGGGAATCATGCAGCAGCGCTGCATTCGCAGTAGAAGTTGAACAGTATTGCGAGAGCCCGAGTCGAAAATTAGTCTAACGACCTTGCGTTGGTTGAAAGCAAGGTTGGCGTTTGACCTCCTTTCAACACGTGTCTTAAACAAAGGCACCGCTGACCGTCAAATCGGCAGCGAACATACCCATCGGAGGAACTGCTTGGCAATGCCTCAAATTTCTTCTTGTGCGTTGGCCAATCCTCCTTGCGCAGCCGCTGGGTGTGGCTTCTGCAAAGAACAACGTCCACAAATGTTTTCTCCTCTGGCGGCATTTCGTTAAGCTCTTCGTTTGCAAGGCTTGCCTGTCGCTGCTTGGTGTGTCCATCTGGTAAATCGTCAAGACAATGCGAACAATTACACAACCGTACACGCAAAAACATGCCGTCAAGGCAGCGTGTGCCAAGGCAGTGATCAACAACTACACTGCCATGTGGAAAGTTGAACCTCTTGACCTGTAGGGCATGAGAACCCTCCCCCGTTTCGAATCCTACATGCTTTGTGTTGTGCTGCATCTTGTGGTTAGATTTCCACACCTGAATGCCTCCAACGCGTGTTAAAAGCACCATGCTGCAACTGCAACACACAACACATGTGCAAACCTGATTTGCAATGGACCACAGGTATGATGCAAAAGCATATCAAGAGAGTACACTGTATTCCGGTGAATCAACGCACACTTGACAAACTCCCACATTACATTCACAAACAATCCTTTATTGCAGTCAGGTGCTGCTGAGCAAGGAGTTGGGACGGGACGTTGACCCGCGAGGGATGGAAATACTCAAGGAACAACCGTCGACTCTCCCCAAACATCATAGAGATGGAGATGGGTGGGAGGGCCACCCTGAAGAGGTGATTTGCTGGTTGAGGGGTGGAGCGTGAGAAGGGAGAACTTGGCATTCTTGGCTCTGGGGGTGGCAGGAAATGGTTTGGTGGTAATGTAAAGGGATATACATCCAACGAGGGGCGGATCTGGAACAGGGCGGGAGCTGAGTGGCTCATTCGATACATGGATGAGCAGACTGTCTGATGGATAGGAATTGCTGTGGAAATTTCAAATTGCTGTGCAATACCTGTGGTGAACGACAGAGTCTGGTGGCACGGCCATTCGGTCAGCAAGAAATCGACAAAAAAACAGCGTCTAAATGTGTCCAAGTATCCTCGTCGTTCCTCAAAGCAAGCTCCTGCAAAAACAGAACTCACTCAAAGGACATCTGAGTGTTGGGCACACTTTTGCAGTCCTTTGCGGTGTAACTGCTATCTTTACAGTCTAATCTCAAACCGTAAACTCCATGTGGCAATTGCAAGGCCATGTACTTGTGTGCACATGTTCATCTACTTGTCCCTGATCATTTCTAGTCGAAAGGATACCAGCTCTAAGTGAGTCTTTCAAGGTGTCCAAAGCCCCAGCAGTTTTTGCGACATAAACGCAAATGACGGTTTGTCCCAGCCCGATTGCAACTCCCCCAGTCTGAGCCACCTCTTGCACTGTCTCAGCATCTAAAGCTGACGCATCTGGTTGCGAGGCTGGCTCTGTTGGTGCGAGAGATGCCTTCCAACATTTCTTGGAGACAAGACGGGGGGTCCTCTGGCGGCGTCTCCTCAACTTCTGTCTCCAAAGGCGGCTGGGGCGGAGCTTCTGTCAGCTTCTCTCCCTTCACGACCCTCAACAAAACGACCGCTTGGCGAAACAGTCTCTGGCATATCATATACACCTGTTTCACCCCCTTTCAATTCCGCACAAAACAGCCACATGCTGTTCCCTGTTGGCAAAGATCAATGCTACAACGCTCAATAAATCTACTGTCAAGGTGCCTCTCAGCTTTTTCAGCTTTTGCAAAGTCTCGCCAGGCATGCAGGCAGCGAAGCAACAAGCGCACATTTGCATGCCTCGGGAAAGCATTCAGCTTGAAAACATGAACGTCCCAAATATTGAGTGACACTTGGCGAAACAGTGTCTATGCCTTATCGATTGCCAACATCTGTTTGGCATATGGGCCGCTGACATGGAAAGAGAAGGCCAAGCTGGCGTGAAGGGCGCATTAAGGGTATTGCCAGGGTGCTTCTCAGCTTTTTCACCTTTTGCAAAGTCTCGCCAGGTGTCCAAACCGTGCAGCAGCAAGCGTTGCATGTCTGCATGCCTCAGGTGTTCGGAATTCGGAATAACCCTGTAAAGTTTCGGCGGGGACACGAGGTCATGCGATCCGCACTGGTCATGCGATCTCTGCTTCTCTGCTTCCGAGGCGTTCTCTGCGGGTTCCACGTCTTTGCTCTGGAGTTTGACGGTAGCACCAAGCTGGTTCAGTGGTCTATCGCACTAAACATGTTCCTTGGAATGCTTGGACAGTTCATCCCACTGATCTGGGATGCCAATTCGCTATGATCCGCTACTCATCGGAAAGGGAAAGCTCTTTTACCCGATTTTCTTCGATTCTGGTTCTTCATTGCCTAGTGACTAGTGTTCTCCATCGCCTAGTGTGTTTCTCAAAAAAAGTAGGAAATGGATGAAATAGACCTAAGTCATTGGAGTTTGCCGGCAATTTAAGACATAGCGTATACCCATACAAGGATAAAACAAATGATAAAAGTATCTGCGGCCCCACAAGCAAAGGAAAGTATGCCGAAAAGATGTCCCACGAAAAAAAGAAAGCCTTGACATGCCTTGGCCCAACGCAACGTGGCATGATCAATGAAGTTCAACGTGGCATCACCAAAGCATCGCAAGGCCGATGCCCGCACCGAGCGACCTCGCAGCCTTCTCCGTCGCTGCAAAGTCGTGCCATCCGCAAAACGAATCACGGAGCAACGTCTGCAAAGCTGCATGCCTTACATGTGGGCGGCTCTGAACTTCTATGACTGCATCGACTTTCAAAGAACTGGAACCCACATTCTGCCAAAGCCATGAACCGTGACCTTCGCACGAAAAAGACTTGCGCCGCCGTGGGTGTTTGTTGGAACCCAGGTGCCGAGCAGTCTTTTCTGCCTGAGCGAAGTCGCCCCAAGCTTGCCAGTACGGAAGCAAGTTCCGCAAGCTCAGCAGGGGTTCCTCCTCCTTGGATGGAACCTGGCGCTGGAGGCAGCGCAAGCAGCTCTAGCACACTCCAAAGGTCACGGCATGGCTGACACTCAGGACATGTCGATGTCAGGACACTGAATCACTGGGCAAGATGTCAAAAGGCCATGAAGTTGAGAGCTGTGTGTCCGCCTTGAACAAACAGAACCTAAACCTAAAGAACAAAAAACAGATAAACACAAAACTAAACTTCAATCATACACTCTCTAAGAACCAGGACAGCACTCTGATTGAACTTCCCAGCCTTCTCATCTTCCCTCAAAGTGGGCTCCTGCAAAATCAACTCAGTCACACAAAGTGTGGTCGAAGACTCCGGACTACGTCCGCCCCTTTGACGCAGTTACTAAGCTATGGGCTAGACGGCTTGACCATCAAAACCATGCTTTGCACCAAATCACGGCAGACCTGCTCGGATGATGACTTCGCTTCTGCATTGGCTGCGACAGTGGGCAATTCCCCACTGGTGCCATTTACAGGATCATCTGGCACAAGCACCTGAGCACCGCAAAATTGAACGAACTTAGCCATGATGCAAGACATGGACATTCTGCGACCATAAAATGGCGCAGGCGCCTGGTCAGGAGACTTGCTGCTCGCATCTGTCGAGCTTCCACAGGCTTCCTCTCCCGGCTCGACTTCCGATTCGAGGGATTGGGCCAGTGTGTGGCCAAATTCCAAACAATTTGCATCCAAATGAGGTGTTATTGGCACCAAACTTGGTGGAAATTGGTTGTACTTGTACTTTGGTCAGCACTGTGATGCACTCCAAAGGCATGAAAGCTCCGCTCTGCGTCACTGGGCTATGTGGAAAAGCTGTGAAGTATCAGTCTTCACACAAAGCTGTTTTCGCCTCACTCTCCACCAACATCAACATCCGCTAAGTGTATGTCGTGAGATGTTTCTTGATTCGATCTTGCAAGTCTAATCTATTCCACTCTCTAACCTATTCTATGTCTAGATGGTCATAAATGCTTTAGTTGGTGAAGCAGTGCAATCACCAGGTCCATACATTTGTTCCTACTGAGCTACCACTGTTGAAGCGATACACACACACAAATACACCGACCTTTGGAAGTTGTGCGTGGCTTGCCGGCAGTGTCTCAACGGCAAGCGCTTCAGAACCTGCATACACTTCAGGCCAAAGCGCTGTTGGTTCAGAACTTCTGTAGAGGAAAACATTGACGCTGTTTCAAGTTGGGCCTGACAAACACGGCTCAAACGTTCTTTAGCATTCGGTGAGCCTGGTTTTTGCCGTGATCTTTGCGAGCTCCCCTAATTGAATATAGTGGAACATGGACACCTCAAGACCTTCGCTTTGAAAAACAAGTCTCTTTTCGGCGAGTCCATATCTTTTTGAGGTGAATTCTAAACCAACCCAATTGTGACGAAGAGCGACACCTAGTGGAAGTAGGAGATAGAACCTGCGGAGACACCGTTTGCTTGACACAGTTTTCGCTCGCAGCAAATGGTCGTTGCGGCTGTGTCCAGCTCGTCTGTTGGACAGCTTGGCTGGCCTCCCGGCTCCGGAGCGGCCTGGTCGTTTCGTTGTGTTTTTGAGAACAGCTGGTGCAACCAAACTCAGGAGGGTAAAGGATGGGGAGCCAGGCCAACTCTGCTTCTACGCTCTGCCTTCGTATTTTGGGGCACATGAATTGCCGTGTTCACTGAACGCGCACCCACCCCCCCTCTCCTGACTTCTCAGGCATTCGATGCCCTGAGCAAAGCGACGTCCGGCAAAAGTCCCTTCATCAAAGCAACAAAAACGACATTATAACGCAATTAGGACCTTTCATGTCCGAGTAACTACGCACAAGCAGCCGTCACCAACTCGATATCGTTTGTTCAATGTCCGAACTAGTTATGGAAATCATTCACACTGCTTGACGGTTCTTCACACCTTCTAAACCATCGAGTATTGCTATCCCACACCAACTGTGAAATGTAACAACAGACCGCGTGAAGAAGTCTCAAATGTCGTTGATTTTGTCATCTACCCAAGGTTGCTATGGATGCCCCTCCTTCCGAACTTATTAGCACAAACACACACATATATGCTCTTCCCCAGAAGAGATTCCATCTCATGCTCCCACCCGACCTGGCGAAATGTCTCGCACTCTGGAAATATCTCACCTGCGCTTGCAACTCATCACTCTCAAACGGGGTCCTGGCTCCTTGCTTTGGCGATGTAAAAGAATCTTTGAGATTCCTCTGTGGCCCGGCCTTCGGTGAGCCAGATAGGTAAGGCCTCCACACAAATGTGTCAATGCATCAAGGGGATTCGGGCACTGCAGCAACTGGTGCTGTACTGGCCCTGCAAGTACTTGAAGATTGCATTCATGTCTCAAACACTTTGTTTGACTGCTTGTCATGGAGCCAAGTCTGGTTCATATTTCATCCACCAGGTCTCTTCTCTAGATCAAAGGACTACTGAAGTTAGCTTCACCCAAAGCTTCATCCTGTACATATATAAATCTTGGCAATCCAAATGTCCCTTTGGTTCCTTTGCAGATATACTTTCAGTACCGTTTACAAGAAGTCCATATCTTGTGTTGCCTCGAGGTCCGAGGAGTGCAGGTTGATTTAAGATCTTTCAGCACAAAGACACGCGTGGTGTGTCTTTAATGGAGCTATGCATCTTGAACAATGGAAAAGTACAGCCAGAACGCTTTGCCGTCCCAACACAGGGATGAAGCATAGGTTCCTTAAAGATGGGATATCCTCTGCAGGTGGCAGCCACCAAGGCTTCTTGCTTACAGTGTCGGTGATCCGGAGGTGAAGTCGTGCTGGGCCGGAAGTGTGTTGAGTGTACCGCAACTGTCAGTTGGTGCTGGACGGACTCAAACGAGGTTTGGCATGGATGAGTGGCCCGATGTTCAGGCTTCACTTCTGTGCGCAGGTGTAGCATCTCTTTTTTTTGAGGCGGGCGTCCCATTGGGATTGGTCGCTTGAGAGCGTGCCTAACAGCCTTGTGTTCATGACACATTTAAGTAAAGACATAGTGGCTTTTGCTGATGCACATGAGGTTGAACACTGTGCACATTTTGCTACAAACACGAAGGTGTGGCACGGTGACTCTTCATGTACTTTGTGCGTGTTGGAGGTGTTTGGCAAAAGGTGTCGCAAGGCAAAGTACATTTCAAGCACTGGTGAAGTGGTGCGTTCTCAGAAGTGTAAGTGGTGTGCTTTTGCCACTGGTGACATGGTAGATGCTTCGGGTTCATGGGTTAAATACGGTTCCACAAAGCAGCTGTTGGACTTAAGACAAAGCAGCTTCTGTGCAAAATGTCTCCCAAGTAAAGGCCAACACATTGTGTTTATACACAGTTGCCATTTACCCCGTTGATCACATGCCCCAGCATGAAAAACCTTAGCATGATTGCTCGAAGAAGAGTTCTCGTACCAAGAGACGTATTCCGTTCAAGAAGCACTTCATGGTAAAAACCTTCCTTTTATCTTCGCAACCTTGTCCGAGCTCTGCACTTTTGGGTCAAAATGAAGATTGTGAGTGTGCGCCTGGCTTTGTACCGACCTCCATTCACTTACGCAACCCAGTTGTTTTGTTTGTCATGGTTCAGGTGACGGGCAAAGCCATCCCAGCACCAGAAGTCTCCGCTCCTCCAATACCCTACCTCTTCTTAGCGATTATCTATTGGATTTGCGCCAACAACGTAAAAGTGCTTTGGGTACGGTATGAATCATGAGGAGGTATCATCCATTCTCTTCCTCGTCCTGTTCACCAGTCCTGGCCTCCTCGCATTCACCAGGTCTCGCCTTGTGCGTTTATCACATGTCGCATGAAGCAAATGAGGCTAGCAGAATGAAAAGTCGGAATTTGCAAAACTGCTTCTACCCAGCTCTCTCCTTCCAAACTTGCAAACAACTGGTTTGAAAAGGTTGTCCTAGAGTCACGGCCCCCCACCAGCATTGGTCTTCCTACAAAGAATCAGTCAAACTCTGATTATATATTTTTTGATCGATTATTCTGCTGATTTACCCTGCAATTCAACAGATTGGCTCCCAGCCTGATTTCTCAATTGGACGGAGCAGCAGTTCTCTCCCTGACCAACTTTCTTCGGTGCCATCACAAGGAGCATTAAGTGATTTGCGCGCAAGAAACATGACGAAACCCTTAGACCCTTTGAATGGAGATCCAAATAGGTTGCCCAACAAAGAAGGAAGAAGCCCCTTTGCTGAAACTACGTGCACCCACACCTTTGATGTAGACAATGTAGACAACTGCAGGTTGGATGTGGAACTTGGAGAATGCCCTATGCCTGACCTCCACAGAAGATGCACTGCCCATGGCCTGAGCACAGGGTTAGCTTTTCAAACGGAAAGACAGCTTCGCAACAGGCAACAGCACGTTCAATCCACGAGTGGCTGAGTGGACGTGATGGTCTTCGAAGCAGTCAAAACCTTAAAAACCCTGTCGCACAAGCTGCTGACGGGTCTACTTATTGCTAAAGCGGTCTCCTGAGTTTAGTGGTGAATCCTCTTTTATGTCTTGAAGACTGGTCATCCAACTGAGTCCCAGCCTCGGCCGGCCCGTCAGACCAGCCGGCCCGTGCGGCCTGTCTTCCGCGTGACCAAAACGGAGGACGCCACGTGTGTGACACAGCTGGATGGGTCTCCACAGGATCAGTCAAGCCATTGAGCAAAGGGCCACTCACAAGACCTTCCCAGGTTAGGGGAGAAGGCTACTGACTGGGTATCAGTAGTTGTTCAGTGATGTCTAAGTTCTACCATTTCATTTTGTGGGCAAAGGCTGTTCTGGAATCCTAGATCTTTGACTGTACGACTGTGGGGAGGAACTTTGGTAGATTAAGTTGGCATTTTGCAGGGTAACAAAGCATGATTGAATGATTGACAAGTGATTGACATAATCTTTCTGAGTTCAATCTGGGACTTGTTGGTAGAATACCGTGCACTTTCCGCAGCTTTCCAGGCGCTACTTTTTTTTTTTTACCTCTCCCTCAAAATGCAATATTCAAGATGGAGGGACACCTCTCAAGGTTAAAATAACACGGACCTCCCTCATGCATAGACCATAAAACCCTATAAAACCACATAAAACCTGCTTCGATTCGAGCAGCCTGTTCCACTCCCGTCGGTGTTGGTGTGAAGGCCTCACTCCTCCTTTGAGTCCATGAACGCCATGCTTGAGCCAAAGTGCCAAGGAAAACAACAAGTTTCAAGACTGACATCTTTTGAACGCAATCGTTTGAAGCATGCCGTTTCCAAGCAGCAGCAGAAACATTTAAAAGACATCTGCAGCCAGCCAAGCCATGGAACGTCTGCTTGAGTCTCAGATTTGTCACTGGATGCAGTCCAAGTCTTTTCTTGCATTGCTTGGTTGGTTGGTGCATGGAATCTCAACTTGGCTGCCGTACGGATTGCACCAACTCATGCAGAGCAAGGCTGCGCGGGCTGCCAACCTCCCTTCCTGATGCCAAGTGAAGCTTACGAACAGAAAGTGCTATCTGCTATGTCTGTAGCAGCAATGAAAAAGAATCCCTTTCACAACCCTTGGTTGCCGGGTCGCTTCATTTGATCGCAAACGCAAACTGAGACGTCGCTCTTTGGAGTAGGGGAACCAACACACACTTTTCGCGATCCCATCAAGTCCACGTCTCGCACAAGAAAACACGTCCTGCAAGTCGGAGAGAAATCGGAAGGTCTAAACTGTGACTCTTTGGAACGTCAAGGACCATGTCTTTCTGTGTCGATCCGCATCCAAATTTTGGACTCCTCTGTCTTCAGTGCTCAGTGACCCCGATGGTGGACCAAACGACTAGATCTCTATTGCGGGCTCCTTTTTGTTGCACCTCTCGTCGTACAACAAGCACTAGATTTTAGAGGCAGAATTATCTAGCCAAAAAAGCACTGGTTGGGATGGGGCAATAGGCATTCAACGAAACAAGCAAGCAAGGAAGCTGGATTCGGCATCGCCAAATTGAACTTGTTCCAAACACCGGGCCCTCCACCGGCCTCCAAGCCGAGACTCCTCCATTGCTCCAGGTGCCCGCGTCAGGAGACTGGAACCTGCAGCAGTAACACACTCCAGTCCACGCGCGTTGGGGGTTGAGACGCCTCTCAAGTCAAAAGATACTGGTCATTTCACGGGGGCAGAGTTACAGCAGGTTCCCTGTTGGAGGGCAAAACCAAACAATCGCTGGGAGCTTCAGTAGTTTGTGCAAATATGGAGTTGTCGGAGGGGCGGTTCTATGGCTCCTATCTTGTTACTACTTGGGTTTTGGGGTATCGAAAGATCGTCACTCCTGATCATTTCGGCAGTCGCAAACAAATCCAAATGAAGCCGGCCATGGCAAAACCCCTCCTGAAGAGCCTCAATGTGAAATGAGGAAATTGCTGTTGCCCTGAACCAAAGGGTTTCCATCTACTCAGTCTTTCATGGCAAACGCGTTGAGAAAAGTGTCAAGCCATGTCAAGCCAACTTGTTTCCTGTACTAATCAGGGTTCTGCGGCATTGTTTCACACAACTCGAAACAAGGGAAACAAGTGAACTGCGCTCAAGTTGCTTTCCTCTTGAGCCAGGCCTCTCCCCCTTAAGCTTCCTTTAACTACGATGGATTAATCCCTGCATAGCGCGTTCAAATTGTGATCTTGCTCTTGCTGGTGGGGAGAATTGGATGGACTTTCCAACACCCTCTAGAGAACTGAACCTGACACGCATGGATGGGGCCTGGAATAAGATTCCCATGTGAAGCTGAAACGCTCAAACACTCTGCAGCTTCAGTGAAGGCTCTAAGCTAGACTCAACTGGACTCCTCTGCGCTTGATGGCAATGTGTGGCGCTCACCGCGTTCACCCAGACCTCGTTGACCCGGCTGCTCAGATTCCACATCGCTGGAGTCGAAACACAAATCCTGGGCGAGGACGCGTGGCTTTCATAGATCTGTGATGGGTTGCTCAGTGTTTCAAACAATAACCGCCAGAACGTGAAGGAAATACACACCTTAGTAGTGGGAACATCATGATCGAGAGGGTAGCTGCTAGACTGAAGCATGAAAGGAACCGCTAAGTTGCTGACTAACAAATTAACAAATGATTGCACCGTATGATCCAACAACGAGAATCTGACAGAGCTCTGATTCATCTGGGCATCGCCTGGCAGGGGTTACACCTCGGCGATCGCGACCATGCGACCAAGAATTCTGCAAGCGCAGGCAATATGTTGCCCCAGAGAACCTATGATAATTATGACGTAGTTTATTTCTTGCTGCAATGTGGTGTGACACTTGTAAGGTCCAGCGCGGCGTGGAGTACTCCAAAGATCGCGTTTTTTGTGAGCGAGGTCCACCAAAACAAAAATTCACTCCCGGGCTTGTGATGGTAAGGGACCAGGGTGTACAATGGCCTAGCATAGACACGCAATACCTACACATCGTTGGCGTGTAGATTCCTGGACGATAACTTCTCGCAACAACATGCAAGGACTTTACCAAGAGAAACCACAAAGCCCCGCGCGCCGCGTTTAGGAATCATTCCGGTCCTTCACCTCTCAGTGCTGGTCGCTGAGAAGCTTGCTTTGCAAAGGCCAAGCTGTCTGCTTGCCAGGCCTGGATGACCTCAGGGCTCGCTTTGTATCCTGTTGTATCCGAGCGCTTGCCAGGTGTGATGATGTTGAGCTATAGTTCATCACAAAAGGGAAGAACACATCTGGAAAAAAGAGCACCTTCAGAAAATACAATCCATGCATCCTTGAGCTCAAATCTTGTCAACTTTCAGTCATGTGTTCCGACTTAGCACCAGCTCTGGCACAGCCTTCCGGACTTGTTTTCTCGAGCCAAGCACGAGGGTACTCAATGGTGAAAATGCAAACGACTGAATGGTATAACAACTGCTTGGAAAGATTAGGGCATAAAAAATGCGGGCACAGCAACATTTAGACCATCCAAAATCGATCGCTCCCAGAGGCATCCGTCCCCCATAGGCACGCCAATGCGAGGGTGGATGCGCGCTTCACGTGCGAAGTCTTGGCCGCTACTCACATGGATCCGGCCCTTGCCCCATTCAACAGGCCTCCCATTCCTGAAGCGTTCCCTAGGCTGAGCTGATCAAGTCAACCAAAACCACAAATGTGTGCAACAACTTTTGGGGAGGCAGCCGGCTAAATCCAGGACTGCTAGAAAAGGGACAACACCAAAACATAAACCTCAGGTGTGTCTCAAGGCCCATGGTTGACTTATCACAGAGTCGACCTACTTACCTTGAGACACACCCACACCACTGGGCAGTTCAAGTTTCCTGTGTAGTTGCCACTGATCCGCCCGTTCATCACTGAGCTCAGAGGATCCAGCAGTGTATCGTTCCACCCAATCCTGGGGCACAACACCAAGTGAAGTCCGAGGTGGTCCGTTTGTGGAAGGTTCAAGCACAAGGGCCTGTCAGGGAAGTTTTCTGGTATCTCCAAGGCAAGTGAGAAAATTTCGCAGCTAGCTGTGGAAGGTATATGCCACGAGTATATTGGGCAGTGGCCAAGCTCCGGAAGAACTCAATTATCTTGTCCTCATGCAAGAGTCCTCGAGCAACGTTCAGCTCACGCTGCTTTGCAGTGTTAGTAAAGAGTTGAGGCTGGACACCTTGTTTGCCTTTTTGGTTTTGGTGTCGTTCTCCTTCTGTTCCTTTTCATTTTTCTGTCCTTTCCCCTGTCTTTCTTTATGTTTTTCCGTCGCTTCTTCCTCTTCAAGGGCGAATTTGTCGCAATGCTCTCAACGTCAGAAGGGCTGTCCATATCCATAGCAAAAAACTGGTCCAGCTCAGAATCAAGTTTGCCGGGCTGACGGTCTCGGGGGCTCGTCTCCTCAAGGAACTTCAGCATCTGAGCCTGACGTGAAACGTTGGAAAGTCAAGCGGCACAGTACATCCAAGGTACAGATATACGTATGCTGTCTGTAGGTTAAAAAGTGCCAGTTGATGGCCCAATAGCCGTCGTTCAATAATAGGCAAGCGACAAATGACATGTCAGCTAAGATACCCTCTTCCTTGTTCTGACACACAGATGCATCCGCTAGCGCCCTTTCAAACTGCGCTTGATCTGGCTTCTGGCTGCAATCCTTCGACTGCTGCAAGGACGTCAACAATAAATTAGGTGGAGAGTGCACTAATTGAACTTGGACTTCAATGTGTAACAAAAATGACAGACAGCTTCGGGCATCGTCTTGTCCATTGTCATCAGCAGTCTTGTCTTGCTTTTTCCCTTTCATGGACGCGTTGGTTCCATTGGGGCCATATATTCTTGGTTGACTCAGCTTTGACTTCTTCATGAGGCGTGGCATTCAGTGCGTGATCGACCATTTCGTTGCGCATCCTCTTTCACTGTGGCCTTGTCTAATCAAGTCCGCCAACGTCAGCCATCTTTTCAGGAAAGACAGGCTGCACAGGCCTCTTGCCAATGGCCTTCTGCGCAGACAACCAATAGCGTTCGTCTGTGATGCCAACCAAGTCTCCATTGCAAAGCGTTCAGTGAAGAAGACATTCTGATGAGTCTGTTTGCCGAAGTAGGATACTATGATGTCGATGTTCACAAGGAAGGTCATCAGAGGCAATGTAAAAACAGTTGCGCAGTCATTTACTTACCGCAATGCAAGCAAAGCCATTATCAATCAATATAACAACAATATGTAATCGTAGCTTCTGGAGAAGCCCAGTGACAGAAACTGAATGGGATGCCTGCAAACTCAGCAAACTCTTCATTCCTGTCTGCCCGCACCAGTCCATTCGCTGCTGCAACAATTGCAGATTTGCGGAGTGATGATCATCGCAAGCCGGAGACTTCCAGTACGCCATGGAACCGTCATGCAAACCAACCATATTCTTGGAACCCAAGGCTAACAAAGCACTGATTGTCAAGCGTCACCAAACCCAGCGCAGCAGAAAACGCTAGCGCGCTTGAACGCCAGATACGCTGCGACTGGTCTCTCTTCCTCTGTTCCAGCTGGTTTCACTTCCTCAATGACAAGCCACCGTCAGTGAGGCAAAAAAAGGGTGAAAAAGGAATGCCCCCCGCGGTCACCCATCAGACAACGCTATACGAATTTATAAACGACTGCCTGCCCAGGTAAACGAAGCGACTACTTATGGTGACTAGCTTCAGCTTCGTTCAAGAGTGGTAGAGCTCTGAAGCAAATTGCGACGTTAAACAAGCCTGGCAGCATCATCTGGTCGTGCGCTTGACCCATCTTGTTTGATAAACCTAATGATCTTTATGACAAACCCTGAAGAGTTGGCTGGTTCCTCACCTTCTTTCTTTGGCTTGAAATCATCCACGGTGATTCTCTCAAGTTGCACGTGAAGTGAAGCATTGTTCAGCTCTTGCGAAATGTCTTCCTGGCTGTGTTATTGTGGTTGAGGGCCTGCTAAACACTCACCATGCAAATTTCTAGTTTGAGCTTCTCAGCCAATTGCGCGGTCGACGCTCGGGAACATTGAGTCAATGGGCCGCGCCAGCTGCAATCGCGGCCACCGCAAATCGATTGCTTGCTTCACAGCGTTGAATGAAATTCAGTTTGTCATTGATCCAGTTCTAGTTGTTAATTTTTGCTGTTCCTTGCTTCTGGGGCTTTGCTATGCGTCCAGGGTTTTGACTAACATGTCATGAAAAGCATACTTGGGCGATTGCATCAACATGCTTGAGTGATTGCATCAACATGCTTGGGTTCTTGTATCAACACGCTTGAGGGATAGCATCAGCATGCTTGAGTGATTGCACCAATATACCAACTTGAGCCATTGTCTTGCTCACGCAGCCAGCGTTAAAACTTCCACCCAAATATAATTGTGTAAGTGTCACACGTTTTGTCAAATGTTTTGTCCACGTTTTGAAGACGACGTCATACCTGCTCGGAGCCCGCCGTGTAGAGTTTGGACGAGTTCACCTTGCCATCCCACACTCACTTGACAGTTGGGAGGGTTTACGGTTGTACTTTCTTAAATGGTTTTGCCACTGTGGGATGCCAACTGAATTGCTGCCTTTGAGAGTCGCGAGAAACATATAAAAACCACTCAATTTTTTGTATAGAACCATGGACGCAACACTCAAGATCAGCGTTGATGCAATCACTCAAACATGTTGATGCAGTAGTCACTCAAGCACGCCACCCCTCAAGCATGTTGACGCAATCACCCAAGCATGCTTTTCATGACATGTTAGTCAAAACCCTGGACGCATAGCAAAGCCCCAGAAGCAATTATCAGCAAATTAATATTTAACAAGCGTTAGCAAAAAATACGTGCTATTGCGGTAAATTTTCGCAGGTGAGAAAGGGAGAAGCCGACCGGCTCAGCAAGAACCCTAGTGAATCTCTGGCGGCGTAAGAAACCGATCCTTGCAATCCCGCGATCTGCCGCTATTTTCATCAACAAACCACAGAGAGCCTCTGGCAAAGTGTGAGTGAAGCCGCGCATATACCGGTCCTCTCCGCTGCAATGTTCACAGTCAGTCTGCAGCAATGTTGGAGCGACGTTATTCTTGTGAAATTGCTTCTCCACTGCGCTTGGTGCGATGAAGGACTGTGGCGTGGTGGAGCTGGGAAAACAGGGTAGCAATTTCAGAGCGCACCCAGGCAATATTGAATCGCTCTGCCTGGTACTGAATATTTTTGTTGCAGTCGGTGGAGCAACGTGGGCATCGCAAATCAGAATAAGATTGGAGTCCGTGCATAGTCCACCCTCAATCAGTCAATGAAAAACTCGTCAGGCAGTGACAGTGAGTCAGTCTTTGGTACGGTGGTGACTGAGAACTACAAGCTTACAGATGACTAAATGGCCCCATACATTGGACACGCAGATTTCAGAATTTCATCAACTTGTCGACTGTCCTTTTTGATGGGCACAGATTGCGCCCCGACATTATTGTTTAGCAGCCGAGAACTATTCCTCCTTTTACTCGCAGATCAAACATATGCATAATTAAGGTTGATAATTGCAAGTCGTTCATCTTTGCATTGCGCGCGCCGCGATTGACTGCCGCGATGTGAAGATTCTCGCCTTGCTGTGTGTCCGCCGGCCCAACGCGTTTGAACACCCATCAATGGACCCGGTGAAGATGAGTTAACTGACTGACAGGCTTTTAGACCCGTGACACCAGGAGTTTTTACACAACAGCTCCTGCGCAATCTTGCTTCTGAAGTCGCCGCAAAGTTGGTTCAACTTGAGGTCAGTGGTTCAGGCGGAATAGAGGCCACCATGCGTACTCTTCCGGCTTGGGCTATGTACTGCGTCGATCGATATCTCAGAACGCTGTCGCGGTTAACCCACAAAAGCGGACAGCCAACGGCTCTGGCAGGTAAGCAAGAGGTAGTTATTCGTAAGTTGAAATTCAGGCCCCAAGCCAAAGACATGAATGCGCGAGTAACCAAGTCGGGAAGTAGTCCGATCTTGAGGTCTGATAGACTGGGCTGCAGTATCCAGAAAGAGACTGCGCATTTCGTGATTTCTTGGGCGAATCTTCAAGATTAAGTTGTCGCCAAACTCCAGAAATTACATCACTGTCTGGGGAACACATCCTCAAAGAGCATCGTCGCCTTGGCTCGTGCGTGACCAAAGCTCTCATCCTAAAAAGCACCGCCACGATTGACCTTTGTCGCGAGTCTGAAACAGCGTAATACTAGAGCTGAAGAATCGCGTGAAAAAGCAAGCCAACACAGAAGGCTAGCAAACAAAGCTTTCGAAACAATTTCACAAAACAAAAACTCCGAAAGAGGGCGAAGCACTAGCCAAACCCTGCTGCGTTCATTGCTTTCGTGATGCAGTTGCTGTCCGTGTGTAATGCGTAGCCGCGAAGTGCTCCGAGAAGGTCGCTTTTGTGGACGTTCTTAGTCCTGACTGAAAAGCAAGAGGATGAGGTGATTAGACTTAGACAGCGGCTCGCTTTTAACGACAAAGAACCAGACACGACCCTGATACAAATTAGAAAACTTAATCAAGAAGAAGCCCTGAGAACCTTCGCGGTCTGCAAAGAAAATGATTAAACATTCCTTCTCCAAACCCACATCCCTCAAGGCCGTTGGCTCTGTGGCCAGCGGATCCAGACCAACGTGTCCACGCTAAGATTGAGCGATCCCAAGCAAGGATCTAGCGTCAGGAGCGCATGGACATGAGATTTCTTCTTCACTTGGCGGCGGGCTGTTCGTGCTTTTTTGTTGGCTGCTGCTGCTGCTGCTGCTGCATGACGAGGGTAGTCCTTGGCTTTCTGACGGTCAAGGGCAGCAAAGATGACCGGTGTTAAAAATTAAAGTGAGAAATCTGTTGAAATAAAGTGAATGACACGAACGTGCAGGAGTGAATGAATGACAAGAACAATCGACTTTGCAGGTCTCTTCCCTCCTACCATTGCTTCTCACGACGTCAAGCTTGTCGCTATTTTGCAAAGCCTCCCCAGCGTACTCTGTCAGTGGAAGTGCGTCAACCACCTGCGAGCTTGCCTCAGTCAGAGGAAGTTGGTCAGGCTTCTTCTAACAGTTTGACGATCGTATTGAACATAGCGAAGACTCCAGGAACCCTGTAACATATCACAACTCAAGTGGCTGTCACAAGTTGACAGGACCGACAGGACCTACTAACAAACAACATCCACAATCATGGAGTGCAGAATACTGGCTGATTGCCATCTTGACTCGCAGACGGAGTTAGTTTACTGAGCCACCCGTGCAGGAAGACTGATTGGCTGTCCAGTTCACACAGCGGACCGGGTATAAATCGACGTTTTTTGAAGGCGTATTTCTTTTAATTTCTCTGGCCGTCGCGTCGATACTAGCTCCGTTAACACCGAGTTAGTCCAAAACTCTAATGCTGGGTAAGCCTTTTGACTGCCCAGCATTGAGCACACTTCCAATTGTTCATCGGCGGAACTGCCAACTGACAAATTCCGCTACCCAGTCAGATCAACCTAAAGACACTGATGACATTTGTCAAACGGCGTCAAACAAATCCACACTCTGCCTCTGATCACAATTGTTATTGACAGTCGGTTTGATCAAGAACAACACCAGACGCGATTTCCAAGAATTTGCATCTGTGCAAAAAGTTCCCCGACGTGGAGAAACAGGTCTTTGACAAGATGGCCACCAAACAATGCTCTTCGCGGTCTGCAACATTTTGTCCAAAGGTAGAAGCTCTCGCGGTCAGCCCGCGCTCAGGCTCACTTGGACCTGCTGGAGAGTCATGTGAATCTGACTCCAAATCTGATTGAGGCGGGCTTCGAAGCAGGAATTCTGTCCGGCCACGGGAAGGCAAAGCGCATCCGATGAAAGTTTCCAATTTGAAAAATCTTCTTTCCGCCTTGCTTCCTTCACCACGGTTGACCAGATCCATCCATCCCTGCCCCAAGCAAAGGTTTACCACCGTTGCTCCACAGGCACAATTCACAGCCGACGGCCGCTACTACTGAAACACTGACTTGTGGTTGTAGAAATGACTGCTCTGGGCGTGAACTAAGATTAAGATTTGTTCAGACCATTGCCGACGGAATGAGCCGGTGAACGGAGTCGCACACTGACTGACTGACTGACTGACGGACGGACTGACTGACTGACGGCTGACTGGAGTGCAAAGTTGTTCGCGATTCATGTGTTTCTTCCTAGACTCAGCAGACAGTGGCAATCTGCGCGGCTGACGTGGCGACATAACATCAGTTCAATGGCAATTGGTGCGCCATACTCGGTACAAATTGCTTGGTGGCCGCCTTCTAGGACGTAATTTGGAAAAGGACCGCAAGTCAACATACCACCTGTCTGCCAAGCCTTGTCCTTGACAATCGAATCACCTTTTCTCAGTCGACAAGACCGAAGCTGACATCGCCCTGTCTCTGCTAAATTACGCAAGTGCAGTTCGACACAGAAGCGTTTGTTGGGTTGATTCATGGTTTTTATCCAGCGAGCAAGTTGAGTTGGACTAATGTCTGCCGGAGACAACGCCCAGCCAGCTGTGACACGGGAACCAAACAGCTGAGTTCATTGAGGCAGCTTTCGCAGCGCAAAGAGACAGACAGCCACAGCGCAGAGAAACATGTTTAACTCAACGCAGGTAGTCAAAACCACAAGCGTTGCAAAGTATACGGCAGTACAAGCTGGCTGTGGTGTAATCACGTGCGCCTGTGAGACATGATAACCCTTTTGGCTGGTTGTAGCCTTTCCAAACCAGAATGTATCAAGGTTACTTTGTAGTGTTGTTCTGAAACCCACATCATCACAAGGAATAAACTCATAACACCAACAAACGACAAGTTTGCACCGGGAAATTGTTACCTGGGATCAAGTTGGGAACCAAGCTCATCTCCCGCTTAAACAGGGACAGGCCATTGGCGCAGGAATTGCAGGTCAGCCTGCACAGAAAACATTGGCTGGGCTTGACCTTGTAATACTGGCTCTAGTCTAAGGGATCTCACGCGAGTTTAAAAATACCTTAGGGTTAAAACTACTTCTTGCCATTGGTTAATAATAAAGACTACAGAATACCTCAGCCAGGCGTGTTTGACTGGTTCATGATCTCTTCCTGCCTTCCTGCGGCAAACCTGTCAGGAACAAAGACAAGAACCAATCTGACTCTAAGGTGAGGGAGAAATGGTTCCAAAACGAAGCGAAAGCCGGTCGGTGGAACAATCTCTGAGAGCAGTACAGCGAGGGAGAATATAAAAATCTCCATTTGGAAAGATGTACGGGTAGATGGTATAGGGCAGTTTATGCCTAGGGCCTAGCATATGCACGGCGAACGCTGCTACAAGGCTGTAGCCTCTATTGTGTATAGCTGAAAAATCAAAACAAGTTGCACAAGTTTGTTGGGATCCCAACCCAGTCCTGCTTCTTTTGGGTTCTGGTTTTGCTTCTGATTCTGGCTTGGCAGCTGCTGATGACCTTTTGAAAGCAGCCTCAATCGACCCTGCTTGGGCCACTGGCATTGCATCACTCAACGGCTTTGACAATGCTGAAGAAGGTGGTTCACGTGAGTCAAGGGCTGCGGAGCAAAGGGAACCAATTTCATGTCAGAGGCGAGCGGACAGCAAGAAAGATCTGAAATGTTGTTGATGTAATCGTGTTGCTTGGTATGATATTGCACCCATGAACCTAAGTCGGCACCTATGAACGACCGCAAAGCAGCGGTTGCAGCTCGAAGGATGGCAAGGGCGGTGGAGCATAGTGCTCTCCGGATTGAGCGACTGGACCGCCTACGATGAAAGTAGCTGTGGAGATAGGTTGGCTTTCTCACGCTTTTTTTGAATGCTTGGCTGATTCAGATTGGAGTGTGGCTTCGGATCATTCCCCTGCTTTCTTCTGATCTCCCTTGAGCTTGATATGGTTGAGCCCCTTTCATCCAAAGCAGGCTTCTGAGATTCATGAGTCTTCTCACTGCTCATTCTTTCAGCGTGAGTTTCCAAATCTTTCTTTGCCGTCTCAGCATCTCTCTGCAACGCAGCCTGTGAAGCACCCGAAGCTTGAACTTGCGAATCCTGTTGGGCCAAGCCGTTCCTCTGCAAGCCCCATCATGCAAACGAGCGTTCAAGCTGGCAATGGTTGAACCTCGCTGTTCCAGATGGCTTTTCAACTCCGCGATTTTTTGATATTCTGGGTCGTTTGCTTCAGATCAGTGACCTGACTATATGCCTGGTCTTTGTCAGCAGCTGAAGCCGTTCTCGCAAATCGCTGATCTCTTGTGTCTGCCCAGTTGCAGAGAAAGCTTCGTGCAGAGAAAGCTTCCTGCTCCGTCACTGTCAGTGAGGCCAGACAACAGAATAATTCCTGGTCAAACATAAATATAACTATGAGAGACGTTTTGACCATTTTTGCTGAGTGAGTCTGAGGATCATTAAATATAGCTCCGCCACCTGACTGAGAAGAAGAATGTATAATTTGAGGTTGTTTTGCGATAAACTATATTGATAGAATGTGTGTAATCATTGTCAAGTTCTTGATGAAAGTGGTAGGAATTGAGAAGCTAGACGAATGAGGTGTAGAGTGATTTCGACAGGAGGCATGCGTGGATGAAAGAGACAGGGGCGCAAAAGCATGGTTGGAGTTGGAAGGGCAAAGTTCCCCAATGGTAGTGCAACTGTGATGCCCGATGCCCGGCCTTCTTGCAATGACTCCATCAACGAGGTCACGCGCAGCAAGCTCAGCCTTGGTGATGATGATGATGATGATGAAAGTAGACGATGACGGACGACCACAGCGCTAACGCCCAAAGCAGCAGTCAGCGCGGGTACACCGCCAAACACAGCACCAGAACTCCTTAGATACCCGCCCCGCCCCCCAGCCCCCGGGGTGGCACCGCCATAGCGGTGATCGAGCATCTCCTTACGTACCCGCCCAAGGCGGGACAAAGTGTCAGACTGACCACCGACAGGCGGCCAGCCCAACGCGGCCTCAGTAAGGTCCAAAGGTTCGGTTTGGTTGGGGTTGGTCACATGACAATCCCAGAAGAGATGCTTCCGATCTCCTTGAATGAAATTGCAAGAAGGGCAGCGACCAGTGACCGCTTGGTGGGTTTTCCGACCGAGAAGTCGTGTGAAACCTCATAGGGCTAATGAAGCCACCGCACAAAACATTCACTTCGTGAGCATTGCCTCGGTGCGCCGCAACAGCCGCTGCTTTAACACGGCCAGAATCATAAGGAATATTCTGCAACGCCGTAGAGTCTTTTCGATTCTGTTGCAAGAAGGAGTTCCACATGGAAAATCGCCAGCTCTTGCGGAGGAGATGTCCGAAGTGGTCCTTGCTGTCTGGAAATTCTGGATTTCGTGGTGCAAGAGAAAAACGTAGGTTGAGCGGAGCGTGGGTCCACGGCCAGGGCCTGGGGCTCGACCAGCCCAAGGAGCCCAAGAACTTGCGAACGCGTTGAACGAAACCTCCCGGAAGGCCACAATCTGTTGCAACTTTGTTTTCAAGTCGGTGACGAGAGCCGCCAAGTAGCCGGACATGAACAGTGAACTTGTCGTGTGGCCCAAAAGTAAGTGGGTCAGAGGCACCGAAGCGGACCTGTGACCGAAGCCAGCTGCTCGAAGTCGACTGTCAAGTTGCGTACAACTGCGCAGTAGAGGAGCTCGAAGTGCCCAGCCGTACGTAGCCTTTGTAGTCACAGCGGAGGCAGCGAGGAGCAGGCGTTCCTTGGCCAAGACAGGAGCAACTTTGTCTTTTGCGGGAGTCTTCAAAGCGTTGGAAAACCGGTCGCTATCTTTCTGAGTAGGTTTGGACCCCAGAGTGGTAAAAGAAACGCCTAACGCCACCAGGGAGTCTTTCGCCCACGGAGCCGTCTCAGGGTCACTGTGGATCTGAAGCTGGCCGTCTTGTGTGCGTGAGAAAACCTGAGTCTTGGCCAGATTTTCTTTGAGACCAAGGCATGCAGAGTGATTCTTCGAAATTTCTCAAATGCTCTTACCGATGTCCAGGGACTCAGCAGAAAAGGTTCGATTATCCATGAAGACTGAGGGTACACCAGTAGGATGCAGACGGCGGATGACCGCTGAGGCGTTCGCAGCACCACGTTCACAGCCCAAGAACTCAGCGGATCGCCCTGCGGAACGCTGCTTGCCACAAGGCAAGAAGTCGGAAGACTTTCGCCTTGCCATTGCAACACGCGGCGCTGAGAGCTCCAAATCCTTTGGAAGGCGTTGGCAAGATGAGGGGGGAACCCGAACTGTTTCAAACTCCTCAGAGCCACTCCAGGCCTCAACCTGTCAAACGCTTGAGAGAGATCCAATGACCAAATGAAATGACCCTTGGCTTGAGCAGAAGCGAGGGGAACCACAGCTTGGAGACAGTCATGTTTCTGACGGCAAGTGTGGTGACCACCCGAACAAGACCGCAATGTCGCGCCGCATGCAAGTAGGGAACAGGGCCACTTCGGTCCCAGTCCATCCGTCCGTTCCGCCTGATTTATGCTTCTGGCGACGAGCGCTCTTGATGATACTGTCAACGTCAACCGGTGCCCAGCACTGATGGGTTCTCGCAGGGACATCCCAAAGTTGAAAATAATCTTCGGGCAGCATTTCATTTTGACTGCGTGCTCGGTTCCAAATGGTGGACCAAAAGGACTTGATTTTTTCGAGGGCGTCTTGAGTGGAAGCCGCAGCCGGTTCCCTTGACCCTAACTCGCCTTCATCGTTGAAAATCATATGCTATAGGGGGGACTTCACTCATTTGAGCCAGGCAAACACTTCCCTTTGGGGTCCACGAAGTCTGTTTTCCCAATGGCGGATCCTGGACACCCGCTGGTGCGTTTCTAAGTCGGAGATTTGCTGCTTGACTTCAGCAATGGTCAACTGAGGGGTCCACGAGGGACAACGCTGAAGTTTGAGCCAGAGTTCGCTCGGAATGACCTGCTGGCGGATGCGTCGGAAAGCAAGTTCCTGCATTCTGCCTAACAATTTGTACAAAACTCGAAGTCTATTTGGAGCACCGTTGTCGTAGGGCTTTCGAACCGCTTGATTGATCTGTGGAAAGACCGCTGAGGTGCCCTTGCCTCGCTTAGCTCGACGCGTGGTGCGCATCGGCACTGTGGAGAGACGAGCAGCTCAGCCTTGTACTTTCTCTCAACGATTGTAGATGTTGCTGTCGCTTGGCACAGCACGCTGGATACCATGAAGCGCAAGAGAAATGGCTGGGTTCCATGAGCCGTCTTCAAAAGAGGTTTGTCACTCTCAACAATGTATGGGTCGCACTTTGCCCCTTGGCGTTGGCCATCTTCAGCATGGTTGCCTGAAGAAGTTGGTGCATGAATCCCTAAAAAACAAGTGCAGAGTGTAAGTGTATCCTGGAACGACTTATCTGTGCTTGACATGATGTTGTCTATTCTCCGGGGCTGCTGAATGTCAGTGAAATCTGGCTGTTTTGAAATTTGAGCGCTAATTAGTTTCCAAAATGGAGCTTGACATGAAACACAAAGCAAAGCGGTGTACAATCAACAGCGCAAGATTATGTTTTTTTGGATACAAAGCTTCCTTGAACGGCTTCAAATCTATAAAGATGACCTTCTGTTCGTTGAAGTTGGCAGGGATGAAGGCTGATATCTCTGGGCATTGGCCAGTAGCAGGCCAAATGAATCTCCAATTGATCCCACTAAAAGCGGCCATGGAGCGCGCGCGCGCAAAAGAACTGGCGTTTGAAAGGTCCACACATGTCGCGTATGGCTGGCGTAGTCGGTAGTGGGGGATGCCCAGGTGGAAGCCACTAGATATCATACACTCCTGAAATACTGAAACAACTATAGCGCCTCAATGGCTGATGACATTGAGCAGGCCCACTAGGCTTGGTCAATGAACGCCGAGCGTCTGAGTTATAAATATTCGAAGTGGCGCAGCAAATCACTGCACCATCAGCTTGTGCATCTCGTACTCTTCGCAACCAGTGACAGCACCAAGCTTCGGACGCTGTGCGCTGGAAATCAAACATCTCAGCAACACACCCTCTGCGCTCAAACTCAAACGCCAATCTTCGATTTGATCTCGGGTTTCCTCACTCACAACCTGAAAGTCTGCAGCGTATTCTTGGCCCAAGTGACAGTTGTATTTGCTTCCAGTTGCAGGCCAGAAGTCACCTTTCTGACTTTGAACATGGCAGGACCACATTCCGATCCGCTCACTCTCAGGCGGGACAGCCACTTGGTCACGGCCACACTCGTGTGGCGGATGCATCCACTTGCTCTCATCTGCATAGGCTCCGAAGACGTGCTCATCTCCAAACCAAACCGTTGCAATGCCTGACGGGACTGGTGGTCCCAAGAAACCTAGTGTCACCCCATTGCCGGCTCTAGAGCAAAACTGACGGGTGGACAATACAAAGCACGGGTCTCCTTTCAACAAACGTAAGTAATACAAATCGATCGATGTATCCAAGAAGCAGAAAATTAAAGGACCGGGTAACCCCGCATATGAATCTTTACGAATCTTAAGTTTCTAAAGCACAAAGCAGTCAGAGTCTCAATAGCTTCTACAAGATGGTCTTGTCAGGAATTATATCAGAATTACACAACAGAGGTATGGGAGAGTAATGTGCACGGCGGATGTACGAGGTATTGCGCAGACATGTGTGTACAGCCACAACTAGCCGAAGTAAAACCACATCGCGCTGCCGACGTGAAACTCTATAGCCAAGCTCTTTTTCATCGCGCAGACGAAAGCAGGTCATGTGCGTGAACCTGGGCGTCGTCATGAGTATTACATGCAAAAGACGTCGTAACCGTCTGTAAAAGTGAAGACCAAAGATTTTGTTTGTCACTGTCAGCACATCATTTGCGCCTTGGAATCTATGTTCACAAAGTGCTGCGACTGCCACGAAATCTGCGCATGGAGCTTCACAAAGTGCTGCGCCTGCCACGAAATCTGCACATGGAGGGTCACAAAGTGCTGTGCCTGCCACGAAATCTGCACATGGAGGGTCACAAAGTGCTGTGCCTGCCACGAAATCTGCACATGGAGAGTCACAAAGTGCTGTGCCTGCCACAAAATCTACACATGGAGGTTCACAAAGCGCTGTGCCTGCCACGAAATCTGCACATGGAGGTTCACAAAGTGCTGCGCGTGCCACGAATTCTGCGCGTCAAGAAACAAGTGCATACTCTAATCACAAAGGAGGGACGGACCGGCGACCACCGCAGACAACCGCAGACAACCGCCGACAACGCAACAGCCAGAGCCTCTAACGGAGCATGGAGGTTCACAAAGTGCTGCGCCTGCCACGAATTCTGCACACGGAGGTTCACAAAGTGCTGCACCTGCCACGAATTCTGCGCGTCAAGAAACAAGTGCGTACTCTAATCACAATGGAGGGACGGACCGGCGACCACCGCAGACAACCGCAGACAACCGCCGACAACGCAACAGCCAGAGCCTCTAACGGAGCATGGAGGTTCACAAAGTGCTGCGCGTGCCACATGGAGGTCCACAAAGCGCCGCTATTGAGACTCTTACTGCGTGATGTGTGGTCTCTGTACGTGTTGTCTCGGTGTGGAGGGAGGATGATCTCTGTGTGTGGTGTCTCGGTGCATGTGATCTCTGTGTGTGTGTGTGATGTGTGTTGTCTCGGTGTGTGTGATCTCTGTGTGTGTGATCTCTGTGTGTGTGTGTTGTCTCTGTATGTGTTGTCTCGGTGTGGAGGGAGGGGGCGGGAGGCGGCGGGATGCACCGGGAGGCGGATGAGACATAGAAAAGAAGAACCCCACACTAAGATGTGGGGAACAATGCTCAAAGAAATCTTGTTGACTCACTCCGTGCCTTGTGGACCTTCGTTCATCAACTTTTCCACCACTTGATCACGTGCGTCGCCGCCGGGGACAGATACATTGATGGCTTTGAAGTGCTTTCGCATCTTCATGAAGCATGTGGAGCTGTCATAGTAAGTGAAAACGAGGCCTGTCCCGGCCCCCTTTTCACAGCGCTCCACAAAGGCAGTGTCGTCACGGAAGTGCTCTAGACCAGGCAACTTCAAAAGCCAAGGTGCCTTGCTTTGCCGGACCAGCTCCTTCACATAGTTGGCATCCATTCGCAAATCCTCAGACGCTAATCTCAAGGCTTCGAATGGATCTTGCAGCACCGCTGCCAGGATCACATCTGGGTCATCGCGTAGCTCCAAAGAGGCCTGCTCCAGGAAGGAGACGTCCCGACCGATCTGAGCCAGGACGTAGTGTTTGTTGCTCCACGGGTCATCCTCAGCTGCGAATTCCGCTCTCCTCTTGGACGTTTCTGGTGGGCCAAGATGTCGTCACCCCTCCCTTCCGCCAAGTCACCTCGTTCACCTCAGCGCTTCTGACGGTGGGATGGGATTTTGACGCTGGGGTGGACATACTTGTGTGGCTTATTCCAAAACCTGAGCAGCTGATGTAGGTACCACATGGCAAGTCCCCCAAAAAGCGGCTTCCTTTTGAACAACGAAATGCACCTGTTCTGAGGGGTTGTGCTTCTCTGTGGGATCCATGAAGAATTGCTAGCCTCGTAGACCCACCGACAGTCCGAACCATCAAGACAGGTGACCATCAGCACTCTGAGGTGCAACTCCTGGCTGCGGTGACAATGGGCACTTTCCCCAGTACAAGGGCTGCTGCCGCTTGGGTTTGAAGAAACATGTCTGAAGCATTCTGAATCAGAACTGCTGAGGTGCAGCTGCAAACTCAAATGTTGGCTTGTGGTGCAACATTGACACCATGGCTTGCAGGAGATCTTGAAGCCCCCACACCAAACCGCTGGGAAAACATGCCAAAAGAGTGGCGGCACATCTAAGCAACATGGGCCAAACCCAAAGCTGCGTAAACAAATGACAGATGCACCTGATCCTTCACACACTCCTCCATCATTTTGCGGGCGCTGCCACGAACTCCATTCACCTCAGAAGGCGTCAACGTGGCCTGTGGAGCATTCACCAACTTTTGGAGTTCTTTTGTTTTGCAGCAAGGAGTCTTAGCTTGTGACAACTATGGGTGACAAATCCACAAAGAAGGACACCTAGTTGTCTAGTACTCAAATCCGAGCTCTTGTGCTCGATGTTGGAAGTGTCAATGCTTCCCTTGCCTAGGCAACTGATCGGCTCTATGAGTTCTGAGGCAAATCTAAGTAGGAGGTCTCACACCTCACCCTTCTTTTCCCACATAGGAACACCTGGTATTATTTGCCGGGGCATGCAGGGATTTCAACACAATTGAATAGTGAAATAAAGAGGGCATCCTTTTTGGAGGGCTGGCCAACTCCCAAACATAACGTTGAAGCCAGCCACAAGAAACAGGTGCCCTGGACTGGCCTCCATGATGAGATGATTCTTTTTCACCTCCAAATGCGGTGAACTTTCATTCCACTCCTCCCGGGCGTGACAAAAAAAAAAGCGGTGGCTGGTGAACGCAAAGCATGCCAAACAAAGTTCACGCAAAAAAGATGTCGAACCATGTCAAGATCTATGCTCCAAAATTACTCTTGGCCAGCCCACACCTGCAAATGTTGGTGCCCAACAAACTATGTATCACTTGCCATGGCTTTCATTGGTATCCGAACTTCGTCAGGTCTTCTTTTTGATTAGCCTTTTTGGTTTTTGACGGCAAGTCCTCAACCAGGCCGCCGCTGTCGATGCCTTGGCTCACTACTGGGCGCTTGGCGAACTCTCGTTGGCCTCTTTCAGCCTAAAAGGGATGGTGCCTAAGGAAAAAGTGTAAAAGCGAAGAGTTCAGCCACCAGGGCTTTCTATGTATTTACTCCACATCGCCAAATTGAATGGAGAGATTCGAGGGATGGATCTCACCATGCAACTTAGGCTTTGCCAAGCTCACTTGGGCTTGTATTCTCTGCATGAAAGGTACGTTGAACAGCTCGACTCCTTTCAAGCTTCCTTAAAGACTGACCCCAGCAAGTGGTACAAGGCGATTTCAGAAGGCGTTGCAACAACATTTGACCACGCAAGGGTTGCATGAGGCTCAGTTGAGGCCAACAAAGAATACACAACTTGAATGATCGGCAAAGTTACCTTGGATGATTAGGGTCTTTCCGCCAGCCAGCATGTCGATTCCCATCCTCCAACGCTGCACAATCGATTGACAAAGGGGAATCCTTGCTCAGGAAAACTTGGGAATGCTAGGCGCCACATCTGGTCTGTACTGTTTCATGAATGGGCCAATTCCTACAGTCAGACTCAAACGGAAGAAGGTGTGTAGATTGTGGACTGGGCACATTTCTTGAGGACCTGACCTGAAGGGTTTATATTTCCAAGCAGCTGCTCGAATCTTCTCGAATTCCGCATGCATAGATGATTCCGGCGCTACCACCGAATGCAGTTTGAGAAGGTCGAGAACGCCTAGTTCTACTTCCTTCGATTCAATCCAGGTTCATTTGTTCAACCGTGTAGTGTTCCGTCCTGGTGATTCCAGATTCCATGGGCAAAGTGAAACGGTCTTGGTCTTTGATGCGTCTCACGCGCCTCGTGCCATTCGTCTGATCCAATAACACTTCATACTCGTCAGCTCGTGTGCCTGAAGAAACCGTTTAACCGGCCATGTCCATATCCTCAAACCAAGCCTCAGAGTTTGTTTGACAATCAATTGTCATGTATTTTTTGAAATCTTAGCATCCAAATCAGCAGGAACCTGTCTACCGTTGAAGGCAAGGGGCCCCTACAGTATTACTTGAGGGGAACACTGTTTCGTTAGAACTTAGTCTCCCCACCATAGATTCACCGCTGGCAGTACTTGCTTGTGAGCTGGTCCAACCGAGCCCCCAGCTGGATGCAGGGTCTCCCCTTGAAGCTCGCCAGGCTTCAAACCTGTCGGCAGCAAAGTGAGAATCCCTTCACCAAATCCACCGCGCCCCGCAAACTTGGGGACAGGGTTAAAGGAGCAAGTGCGGTCCACATTGTGCCTTCAGACATGGCACAAACTTCACATAGCGCTTTATAGATTATTGTTACAACATGCACAACTTATGACCTAGACTGACACTCACTAGTGTCAAAGAAACTGGCAGAAAACATTAAAATAAGAGAGAGAGAGTACCAAGAGCTTCAGACCTTCAGAATGGAGCCCCGACAAAAACGAAGGACACTGCACCCAAACATAGTTTCGATTTCAACGCACCACTGATAGTGCATGGACATGAAAGCCAGCACTTGTCTTTTGGCTCGCTGTGTTGCGGGGATCTGCCACCATCATGGCCGTATGTGCAACAAACCACATCAAAGTTGAGGGTATATGATTCAGTTACTCAGGGCACTCTCACAAAGGTGCACGCAGCAAGAGGGTGCCTATTTTTATTGGAAGTGTTTCCCAAAGGCTGGAAATTGACAAATGTTTTCGCAGTAGAAAAGTGTTTGTTGCCACCTGCTGGATCTTGTGGGAATGGGGACATTGTTTTGATGGAAAGGCTTGTGCTTAGCCTTTGGGCTCCACTTGACCAGTTCAGTTTGGACAAGGTCAATGGAAGGAGTCTTCACCAGGTTGATATTGTGCATTCATGTGGGCTGCTGCCAAAGGCAATTCCATAGTCACGAGTTACAATCTTCCCTTTGCTCTTGAGACATTATTTAAATGCAACTTGCTGTGTGCATAGCGGAGAAAAACTACATTTGCAGTGTGGAGAAACAGTTGTCCACTTGTTGTCATACAAATACCTTTTGAGGAGAGCACCCACACAATGGTTTCAAGCTGTTGTTGTTGTTGTTGTTGTTCCTATTGCACTTACGGAGTTTGGTTCATTGATGTCTGCAAGTTGACTTTGGTGAGTTTGCAGTGATGAAGTGACTGGGGTCCGGCCGCTGAACCAGCTGCTAGTGCGGTTCCAGGGTGCTCGAGCTAGCTTGACTGCGTTAAATGGCAACTTCGGTCTCTTTGCCTTCTGAAGATTTGCTGTCGAGCCGACAGGCCGACAGTTTGTCTTTTTGGTAAATCAACTCCACGGTCTACTGCCATTGTGAAGGAACGACTCAGTTGTGGTGGCAGTTCCAGTTACCCAAGATGTTGGTCCCCTAAGCCACAGCGGTCGGGCGAACAAAAACCGGATCCGTCTTGCATCAAGCCTTTTCGATCATCCAAACTAGAAACTTTCTTTGAAGGTCTTCTACAGCGCACGTGTTCGTACACTTCTCGATTTGCGCAGGCTCTCACAGCTGCGTAGCGCGTTTTCCACGTGCCAAGGTCTTCACGACCAGTCCATGTCGTCAGCGCACAGCTATGGCGCGCAAAGACGGTAGCCTAAGTGGCCCGTCAAAGGCCAAAGTTGAAGGGCCCCCTAAGCCGAAAGGGAACCGGTGGAATCACTCAACCTGACTTCACTGAACGGAAGCGAAGCAAATTTCATAGCTATGTCATAGCTTTAAATGTCCTTTCCACATGCCCCGTGTGTGAGCTCCCAATCAGATCCATCCAGGTGGCGTCACCTAGTCCTCGCTCCTCCTCTTCAGGAGTGTCCGCAGGCAGCTGCCGGGCCCGGAGCTTCCTCGCCGCAGCGAACTTTGGGAAGTAAGACCACGTTCCACCGTTGGCCTTCTTCCAAGAGCCTCGCGCGATCCTGAGCTCCAACTTTCGTCAGCCCGTCCGCGAGCTGCATGTCCGAGTCGCACCGTTCGCAATTCTGTGGCCTGGAGCTTCATGTTCTCGACCAGGGCGAGGATCTCGAGGGCCGTGTATTTCTCCTTGGAGGAGGAGAACGAAGGCATATCGCCTTGCTGGCGCGAGTCGTACAGTGCCTTGGCATCTGATGAGGACGCCCCTCGTCTTCTGGTTCACCTTCTCGCCCAGCATCTCCATCCACATGGTCCGACGAACGTGAGCTCTTGCTCGGCCTCTGCAAGGGCCTGCGTCTCGGCTGCCAAGCTGCTACGGCCTTTCAGTCCTTTGTCCACCTTATCCCTGTGGACCAGGCCAATCAGCATGCTGCCTGCGCTGCCGAGCTCAACTCTGTTGGCGAGGGCCGCATCTGACCATGCCACTGCCACCACGTCCTCCTTCTCGGGGTGTGCATCTTCAAGGTCACACTCGGACCATAGAGCTCGTGGGTGAACTTGCTGATCTCCTTCAGAACTTCTCGTTCACCCTTCGCCAGTATAGCGACTGCATTTGGCTGAGTTTTGCGGCGTGGTGAGGCGCTGTCTGGCAGACTCGCCATGGCGCTGATCCAGCGCAGCTCGACATTGTCGCCGCTCAGGTTCAGTGAGATCCTTGCCATGGCCATCATCCTGGACCTGGTTGAAGGGCTCGCAGAACTCCTTCTGGTCCAGGATCCATCCACCATCGCTCTTTTGGGCCAGGTGTACACCGCAATGATTCATGGGCGCACACTCCCACGAAGACCACTTCAGGCTCTCATGATGGCACCTTTGGAGGAACTCTGTCCACTTGGGGTGGCCCTCATTGCCCGTCGTCAAGAAGTCATCGACGTGGGCTCCAACCAATCCGATGGTGACATGCCTTTGCAGTCAAGGGGCTTGCGCTTAGCCTTTGGGCTCCACTTGACCAGTTCAGTTTGGACAAGGTCAATGGAAGGAGTCTTCACCAGGTTGATATTGTGCATTCATGTGGGCTGCTGCCAAAGGCAATTCCATAGTCACGAGTTACAATCTTCCCTTTGCTCTTGAGACATTATCTAAATGCAACTTGCTGTGTGCATGGCGGAGAAGAACTACATGTGCATGGCGGAGAAGAACTACATTTGCAGTGTGGAGAAACAGTTGTCCACTTGTTGTCATGCAAATACCTTTTGAGGAGAGCACCCACACAATGGTTTCAAGCTGTTGTTGTTGTTGTTGTTGTTGTTGCTGTTGCTGTTGTTCCTATTGCACTTAAGGAGTTTGGTTCATTGATGTTTGCAAGTTGACTTTGGTGAGTTTGCAGTGATGAAGTGACTGGGGTCCGGCCGCTGAACCAGCTGCTAGTGCGGTTCCAGGGTGCTCGAGCTAGCTTGATTGCGTTAAATGGCAACTTCGGTCTCTTTGCCTTCTGAAGATTTGCTGTCAAGCCAACAGGCCGACAGTTTGTCTATTTGGTAAATCAACTCCACGGTCTACTGCCATTGTGAAGGAACGACTCAGTTGTGGTGGCAGTTTCAGTTACCCAAGATGTTGGTCCCCTAAGCCACAGCGGTCGGGCGAACAAAAACCGGATCCGTCTTGCATCAAGCCTTTTCGATCATCCAAACTAGAAACTTTCTTTGAAGGTCTTCTACAGCGCACGACCAGCCCCCCACCCCCCTCCCCCCAATTTTGTTGGCAAATGAAAGCGAGGTTTGCGTGAATGAGACGAACCGTTACCGCAAAGCAAAACCATGTGCACGGCCAGGCAGGTATAACACGAACATGCTTCCAAATTGCTAGAATGAACTTGTCGGTAGCTGTCCGGTCCTGCTAAACGAACGTGTTCGGTTCTCACAGCTGCGTAGCGCGTTTTCCAGGTGCCAAGGTCTTCACGACCAGTCCATGTCGTCAGCGCACAGCTATGGCGCGCAAAGACGGTAGCCTAAGTGGCCCGTCAAAGGCCAAAGTTGAAGGGTCCCCTAAGCCGAAAGGGAACCGGTGGAATCACTCAACCTGACTTCACTGAACGGAAGCGAAGCAAATTTCATAGCTATGTCATAGCTTTAAATGTCCTTTCCACATGCCCCGTGTGTGAGCTCCCAATCAGATCCATCCAGGTGGCGTCACCTAGTCCTTGCTCCTCCTCTTCAGGAGTGTCCGCAGGCAGCTGCCGGGCCCGGAGCTTCCTCGCCGCAGCGAACTTTGGGTCGTAGACCACGTTCCACCGTTGGCCTTCTTCCAAGAGCCTCGTGCGATCCTGAGCTCCAACTTTCGTCAGCCCGTCCGCGAGCTGCATGTCCGAGTCGCACCGTTCGCAATTCTGTGGCCTGAAGCTTCATGTTCTGGACCAGGGCGAGGATCTGGAGGGCCGTGTATTTCTCCTTGGAGGAGGAGAACGAAGGCATATCGCCTTGCTGGCACGAGTCGTACAGTGCCTTGGCATCTGATGAGGACGCCCCTCGTCTTCTGGGCCATCTCGCTCGGCCGCTGAAGGTTCACCTTCTAGCCCAGCATCTCCATCCACATGGTCCGACGAACGTGAGCTCTTGCTCGGCCTCTGCAAGGGCCTGCGTCTCGGCTGCCAAGCTGCTACGGCAGACGCGGCGAAGCTTCGAGCTTCCCCAGCTGACCTTTCAGTCCTTTGTCCACCATGTCCCTGTGGACCAGGCCAATCAGCATGCCGCCTGCCGAGCTCAACTCTGTTAGCGAGGGCTGCATCCGACCATGCCACTGCCACCACGTCCTCGTCCTTCTCGGCAAAGAGGTTGAACTTGTTGATCTCCTTCAGAACTTCTCGTTCGCCCTTCGCCAGTACTGCATTTGGCTGAGTTTTGCGGCGTGGTGAGGCGCTGTCTGGTAGACTCGCCATTGCGCTGACCAGCGCAGCTCGACATTGTCGCCGCTCAGGTTCAGTGAGATCCTTGCCATGGCCATCATCCTGGACCTGGTTGAAGGACTCGCAGAACTCCTTCTGGTCCAGGATCCATCCACCATCGCTCTTTTGGGCCAGGTGTACACCGCAATGATTCATGGGCGCGCACTCCCACGAGGACCACTTCAGGCTCTCATGATGGCACCTTTCAACCACTGCTTTTGCAGCCAAGGATAGTGGGCGGTCAGTCGCCATAAGCATGGTTCGGTGGTGAGGCGCTCCATGTTCAGCTTCTTGAGCACTTCGTCCACGAAGAGGTAGAACTCGCGAGGCGCATCGTCAAGCCACAGGCCGCCTTCAAGAACTGAACTGCTTGGCCTTCCTTCAAAACCATCGCCTCCTTGAGCTCTTGGACAGGCTGTCCAAACATCTGGCGGTGCTGTTGCCCCATGTCTCCTTGGAGAAAGCAGTCTTTGCATCTGCTTTTAGGAAGCCTGCAGTTCTTGTGGGCGCACATGGCAAGCCTCAATTGGCGTCCCCTCCTTGACAATGTTGGAGATCGGGCCGACACCGGGATCAGTAAATCCCAGGACCACCAATCTGGCGTTTGCCTTGATCATGCCTGGGGTGTCAGTTTGCTTGAAGACCAGAACCGCATCAAGCGCTCGTGTGATACCTTGGCAAATTTCTGAGGCCAACCAGTCATTGATCTCCAGGACCTTGGCCTCTTGCTGTGGCATTCAACTTTTGAGGCAGCTCACTTCAGCACCTTTTGCAATTTTCTTAGCCACGAACTTGGATGGGTCCTTGACAATGGCCCCTGTCTTGGGCTCTGGGATCGTGGCCGCGAAGACATAGTCCTCAAAGTCCTCCACTGCTGTCTTGCGAGTGAAGTTGTCCAGGATCTTCAGATGAGGCCACGCCATCTGTTCCAGCGTAGCCACGAAGTTCTTGCTGTCGTAGCAAATCCTGCCGCTGCACACGCTAGGGTCTCTCCATTCGCTCATGTCGAGCTCGGGCACGGAGAAATGGAGCATGTTGGAATAGCGGTCCTTGTTCTCCAGAGTGCAGGGGAAAGTGGCGCTGGCCGTCGATCAGCCGTTGGGCATCCAGTTCATCTTGGATCTCGTGGCGTGGGTCCGGAGTTCTGGTCTCCGGTGGCAGAAACGGTTCTTCAGAGCCACGTCCTGGATTATGGTGCCCCGTTGGTCCATAGGCTCAGCATCTTCATCGTCTTGAGGTCGTTCTCGAGATGCTGGTCTTTCCCTGGTAGGAGATTCTTCAGGTAGTTCATCAACACGTTGTCGTAGAGCTGCACTTGCTTGTTGCCGTTGAGTCACGGCGTCATCGTCGAACTCGCCCTTGGAGATGAGGTCAGTGAGGTGGTTGAAGGTCCAGGGCAAAGTCAATGGTGTATGGCTCTCTGCGATGACCCGTTCTTGCTCAGAGGCAAAGCGCAGTTATGTAGCATGGACTCGTATGAGCCTGCCACTTGCAATGACGCAGGCCATTGCACCAAATGTGGTTGAGTTGCCGAACTTGTCCTTCATAGCTGGTCTTGGTCTCGAGAGCCAAGATGCGAACTGGCCCATACCATCGTGCTACTCGTCGTCGTGGACTGTCTAGGAGCTGATATAATCGCTCCTTCTTATCAGCTGGTGGCTGGTAGCGCTTGTAGTATAGACCGTGCGGGTGTTGGCCGCCTGGTTGATCTTGTGCTGCAGGGTCAGCTTCCGGATTCCGGTGCAAGTTCTCCGCCTGCAAGCGTTGTTCCAGCCGGTCTTTCATCTTCTCCTCAGTGCTCATACCAGACCAGTAGGGAAGATCTGGTCCGTCGCGACGTCGATCGGCGAACACCCACTGCATCGGCGTGTAACCGCCAACATTGCTCATATGGTGTTGCACAATCGTTGCCCGTGTGGCAATCTCTGGGAGTGCTTCTGTCGATCTCAGATGGGCCATGAGCTTTCTGGTTCAGAGTGCCAATCAGTCTCTCCACTTGACCCATGGAACCGTGATGCTCAGCTGGGATGGCATCGATCTCAATGCCATGCTGTCTATTGGGATATGCAAAATACTGGATCCATCCTTGATGAAGGGCTTGCAGCATCTCTGGTGTAGTTAGGTTTCGACTGGCAGAAACTGGGTCAATCACCTGGAAGTGGTATCCAACTGGATCGCTTCCCAGACCTCAATGCAGTGCAAGTTCGCTGCAATGGTCTTGACCATGGTTGAGGCTCCACGGTTGCGAAGCATCTTGACGGCCAGTGTGTCCAAGCTTCTTGTGCAAGTTGAGGAGGTCAGTAGCCACTCACATCAGCTCTTGGTCTGTGCTCTTGAGGATGGACTCTGGGCCATAGTCATCCGTCTTCTCTACTGCCATGATCTGGTCATCAGAGTGCCCGTGGATGAACTTCACCAAGCGTGCCACTTTCTCAGCTTGGGATAGAGAGCGGACACGCGACACGAGTGCGTTCACCGCCTTCACAGGGAGTGTGTGGTTCGTGGCAATGGCATAGTCGCTGAAGTTGCCACACCAGTTGCGATGTGCTCTTCACCCTCCGAGGTTTCTTCACCAAGCCTCCATCTGGTGCCTGAAGTCCATAGGCGCAACCATCAAAGAAGGCTTCGTAACCATGTTGCCGCCAGAAGTGTTGGACGCTCGTGACGTCCCAGGCTTTGTCGTACTTGGGCCACTCCTGGAAGACTTCTCCACCTTGTTGGACCTGGAGCCTGCGCAGCTAGCCAGCCGTTTCGAGCGTTGCACCTTCTTCTCCACCTTCGCTCGTCCTTCTTCCGTCAGCTTGTTGAGCCCCTGCCAGAAGTTGGTCCAAAAGGTAGCGATACCCAAAGCACGTCGGGTTTAGTCTTCAGGAGTTGGATGACCTTGTTGAAGCTGGACTCCTTGCTCAGGTCGCAGTCGTTGATGAGACGGCAACGAATTCCAATGCCTCCATGGGACTCAGACTCCAGGGCTTTGGTCAGGCGGCTATCTTATTCACAGCAGGGCTCCATGATCTTTGGTGGCGGTCGTTGACCTTGCTCTGCATTCAGGCTCATCATGAGGTGCTCGCACTCCTGCTCATAGTCCTCAGCCATCGCCAGCAAGAAGGCGGTGTCATCATCGGTCAGCCTTAGGTTTCGTTGTCTGAGTCATCCCAATGGCGTCGATCACGTCGCCGAATGCCGTCCAACCTTCATCTTGCTGCCAAGTTTCATCAGGTGTCTCTTCAGTGGGCTCCTGTGCACCAGCTTCTCCGGGTTCATCTTGAGGTCGGAGTTCTGGTGGTCGAGCCGTAGGGGATGAAGGCGATGTAGTCGCTCCAGCTGCTGCTCTGGCCGTAGGCGAGGTCGAGGGAGTAGGTCTGCTTGAAAGTGCTCGGCTTGGTGGCTCAGCTTGAGGCTCCGAGTGAGTGCGGCTAGCTCTTTGAGCCTGCGGTAGGCCTCCAAGACATGCGAAGACCACTGGCTCATCAGCATGCCCAATGGCCTTCTCAGCCGGATGAACAAATCCTCCAAGCGAGCGCCTGCTTCGGGCACTGCCGTTCGGCCGACTTTGAAGGAACTTCAAGAGGTACTTGGCGCCGTTCGTCTTGCTCAGCTTGTCGTGCTCGAGGTCAGGTGTCACTGACGATGCCCGACCTGTCAATCGTGAGGCCAGGTCTGGAGCGAGGTACTTCTTCTTGCGGTGTCTTCTCCCATGGAAGCCTGACCCAAACTGGTAGGATCTCCGTCCCAAGTCACTACCACCTCTTTGGCAGAGATGGTCGCCATTCGAAGATCTCCTCCGTGAAGTCGAGGGTGTAGCCAAGGCCCGCCGGTAGAGCTCGAGGTCGTTGAGGGAGGTCTCCGCTACCAATGTCGGTAGCTGTCCGGTCCTGCTAAACGAACGTGTTCGTACACTTCTCGATTTGTGCAGGCTCTCACAGCTGCGTAGCGCGTTTTCCACGCACCAAAGTCTTCACGACCAGTCCAGGTCGTCAGCGCACAGCTATGGCGCGCAAAGACGGTAGCGTAAGTGGCCTGTCAAAGGCCAAAGCTGAAGGGTCCCCTAAGCCGAAAGAGAACCGGTGGAACCTGACTTCACTGAACGGAAGCGAAGCACATTTCATAGCTTTGGGTTAGACTTTGCTGTGGCCACATTATCTTATGTCACTGTCAGGTTGCTAGGGCTATTTGCAAAAAGTTCAGAACTATTTCCTGACCTGCCAGAACTATTTCAAATCCGCCCACACCGCTTGCGGTGCAGGGCGTGTTAGGGGCGGGTCAAGCTGGAATCATCGTCAGTCAATCATCACATCGTAATCAGTTCATAGCTCTGCTAGGGGGGCCCTTTCTTTGTTTCGGGGAAAAACGTCTTACGCCTCGAGGGCCATGGGGGAGAGCGTTTTGGAGGTACATGTTTGGACTATTTCTGCAAGAACCCAAACAAGCCAAAAAACGGACACCCACGATGCTGAAAAACCCTCCTGACCAGCAACGCATAACCAGCATTATTGGAGGTACATTATTGCAAAAAACCCAACGTAGCCTCAACACAGGGTCACCAAACGATCAAGCTAGCCTTGACATGTGACATGATGTAATGTGGACTAACCAAGCGGGGGCAAGGCCACAAAACGGTCGAACTTGGAGCCTGAATTGGCTTCAACATGGCCACCAAACGAGCGTCTTTTTGGACACCGCTCCCGACCTCCCCTGTCCACTCCAGCAGTCTTTCCCCAGACGACCGAAAAAAAAGAAGGTGTGGGCGGCGGTCGACGCGAAGCGTCAGGAATTATTTCAGAACTATATCTAATTTCCTTTCAACTTGTTGGTTTAACTGAGTCAAATGCCTCTTCTTCAAATCCACAACTCCAATCTAAGGATGGAAAAACTAGACGACGGGTGGCCCGAGAGCGAGACGTGTGATTGTCCAGCGCTGTCGAAAAGATATATAGAAAGAGAGAAAGAAAGGGTGGACGTGAAGGAGTGACAGTGTGGATGCGCAGGTGCGATATAGAATGTGTAGATGTATGGAGGTGTACAGTGTAGATCTGTGGATGTGAGCGCGCGAAGATGTAGACGAGAGAGAAAATATATAGAAAGAAAGAAAGACAGGACAGATGTGAAGGAGCGACAGTGTGGATGTACAGATGTGGTATAGATGTGCAGATGTGTGGGTGTGGTGAGGTGGAGAGGTAGATCTGCGGATGTGAGCGTGTGAAGATGAAAATGTAGAGAGGTGAGGGGGCGCAGACGTAGATGCGTGGATGCAACGGCAGCGCAACGTCGACCTTAGTTGTGTAAGTACAACGCTGAAGAGGTTCAAATAGAACTGAAGAACGTACATTTCACACTCACACTGAAGTTGCCACGAACAGGGCGACCTGAGAGCAAACGATGTCACGATCATGAGAAGCGACTCGTGTATTCCAAGCGAACATCGTTTGTCATGGAGGTGAAGTACACACATACTAACGTCACGATGATTCTTTTTGTGGCAGCCGCGGATCGCGTCGTTTGAGCGATGGCCCCGAACAGTCTCGACGGACGACCCGCGACATAAATTAGCCTCGGTGTGTTGCGCTGAAGTCTCTCTGCCATTCCGCGCGCAAACCTTCCAGGCGCCACAACGCTTCCAAGACATAGGGTCGATTGCGCCAAGGACGCCATGCTGGTCGTTTTTGAAGCAGCAACTGCACGGCCTCCAGTGCGGAATGTTCGTAAGCGACAACGAGCCAAGCGCATAAAATCCCCGTGCTCCGATTGATGCCGCCAAAGCAGTGAAAGAGCACGTGCATGGATTTGTCCCGGGCGACCGCCAGCATGGACGGTTCCCATAACTGGCTGCAGACGATTTTCCACTGTCGCAAACAGGAAGCCACCAAGTCCGGAATCTGCTCAAGCCAACGCCTTGCCGGCTTCAGTGTCGTGTCCTCCAAGTGACACTGGATACGAAAGACATCTTGTTGTTGAAAGTATTTCGTCCAGTCTGTCGGCGCGCCTGCGATCCTCATCTCCTGCGCGCACATGGTGACCACCACAGTGACCTTCAAAGACGAGGTCTCCACAATGTCTTCCAAGCTACACGCAGCTTTCAAACTTCCAAGCAACAGCGCTGCTCGATCCGTAGGCCTGTAAATGACAGCAGCATCCAAAGGCCACGCTTATGGACTTAAAGCTGTAGTCGCGTTGGTCTGTGACATAATCCAAAGCAGTCCACCGGCTCCTATCAGCATAAGCGTCTCTGATATCCTGCTCTCGCTGTGTTCTCCACTCGACTGGACATTGCGGGAAAGTGTGAGGAGCGGTCTGGGAATGGGCTGCCAGACCTTGCAATTGCACTTGACCAAGAGGCCAACAGGGTGTCCACCATTGCTGAGTTCTTTCAAAAGCTGAATGCTTTGATGTCTGGCTCTGCCAGTGAGCCTGCAAACTTGAAGGAGTTCCTGTTGGCGAATCATGTTGGAACATGTGCTTGGCTGGGAGATTGAGCAATGCACTACGTTCTTGACTGACTTGGGAAGAAGCTTTGTGAAGTACTTTTTGCAACGAGTGGCTTGGAGATGGTCTTTTTCCACTTCATCTCTGTCAACAAGCTTGGCAGCTGGGAGGGGTTTGGCCTTCACCTCCTGAAGACCAAGATCCATGAACCTGCCGAACATGAGAGGGAGTGGCCGATCAAGGATTCCCACATTGGCCAAGTCCAGCAGAACCTGATCAATTTGTTCTTGGAACGCTTTCGCAACCTTTCCCCCAACGTTGTGAACTCTGTCCTACGCTCCATGCCTTGTGAATGGTTCATTCCTGAGGTTTGCAGGACAGGGTCAGCATATGTCTCAGAGTGCAGCAAAAGTCGAGGATGTCATACAGTCCTCTAGTCTATCACTACATTTACATTTTACATTGAATCTGAATCAACTGCATTTTTGCCTCACCCTCCATCCAGTCCATATTTTTTTGGGATGTGACTCTGATGTTAGGAGGATGCAGGCTGCATGCTGCAGGATGAATTATTTTCTTCAGCATTCAGGCACCCCTGCCAAGAAGAGACCTATTCCACCCTCCTCCTCCCCTTGAAGCTTTTCAGAGCTGTTGCCCAACCCCAGACGTGAGATATGAACCTCTCCATTAGCAGGACTCCTATTCCGGCCAGCGCTCCTCTGACATGGACATGTATCGACGTCTCCATCGAGAACAAGAGTGGGCTCATCACCAAGTCCCTTGTTCATGTCCAGCGCTTGTCAGCATGTGCTTTCATTGTGGACGACCCCAATCCCCCAAATGCCATCAAGAAGGGCATCAAGGAAGTGGTGGCATCCGCATCTGTCAGCGCCCGACGATGATTATGAAGAGCAGTGGTGCCATGAGGACAGTTTCTGTTTTTGAATTTACAGTCTCCAGTCTCCAGCTGACCAGAGTTGGTGGGAGGTGTATAGTAGGTGTTTGGATTGGATGCTTTTTTTTGTTCCTCCTTATTACTTATCCTTATTACCGATGCCGATTACCTTATTAATTATTAATTAAGTTGTAGTATTAAGTTTTTTTTTAGTATTGTTTATTATTATTACTAAATTGTTAAATTGTTATTATCTATTTGATTGCATTGTCAGTACTGTCCAGGTCCAGTCAGCGCCATACAAGCAGTGCCCAGTATACAAATTTCAGTTCCAATGTGAATAGAATGAATATGAACCAATGCTGTGGCTGTGCGTCCAATTTCTCAGTGGTTGGTTCTTGCCATTGCAGGAATCTGTGGACCCAAGCATGCGAGATATCCAAGGCGGCCCTGGATGTCAAAAAGGCTCTGCAGGATGCAGGCTCCCTGATTCCAGCAGTCACAGGACAGGAGAAGGTGCTGGTGGAAGGCAGCACTGATAGCCTCCTGGAGTCAGCTGCTTCTGCTTCTTGGTCAGATGCTTCGTCTTGCTCAGATGTGCTGGCATTGCTGTCCAATGAGGAGCAAACCAAGGACCTACAGATGAGCAGCGCAGTGTGGTGTCCAACCTACAGGATGCCACGAAATCCATTAGTGGCGCAGTCCCACTCCTGTCACCCTCATTGACGCTTTTGCGCCTCTACTTGGACAAGCAGTGGCCGGGGGAGGGTCCCAACCACCTTGGCACTGACTCCAACTTTGGAGAAAGATGAAGATGAAGGTGAGAGTGAGGAGAGCCAGGATCTCTTGTCTAACACACTCAAAGCAGGCTGGGTGAAGATGGGTAGGGGCCTTGCCGGACTTGTCCATTACAGTGAATTTGAATTTGTCACTTTTTGGTGGCCATTTGTTGTGCATGGTCCACATGGTCCGCATGTTTGTTGTGCAGGTCCGGTCGCCAGTCACGGTCTGATTGCTGACTTTAGACTTTAATGACTCAGACAGACGGACGGTGACTGGGGTTTCATTCCACAGTTTGCAGTTTGCAGATGGCAGAAAGCCGCATTCCCTCATCACATCTACTCTGGTCAGGTCCGGTATTGCTTAGTGCCTCATTAGTTGCAAGTCTCCACGTCAATAAATAAAGCAAACAAGCAGAAGCAGCTAGCAAGATCACTGACCTTGATCTTTGGTCATCATGTTGATTCATTTTCTGAGCAGGCTTGGTACATCTTCACATCATGAAGGACAGCAGCCTCATTCCGAGTTCAGTGGCAAGGCTTGTTACCGAGCTTGCACTTGGCTTGCTGAATTTCAGCAAAGGTGATGTGTCAGCTGTGGAGGCCTGCAACTTGTGGTGCAAGGTCACGCCTTTGTTATCGAATGCTCGACGACTTCCACAGTCCACGCAGCAGACATTCCCAATCATCGAGGCAGTGCACTGTGCCTTCAAGCGCTTGGAAGGGCCCATCAAGGATGCGGTCATGGAGCAGGGCAAGAAATGTGTGCAAGATCATGGCCTGAAAGGTCCTTTGGTCTACATGAAAGAATTTTCAGAGCTTTCACCAGCGCCGCCTTGCGTGAGTGAGTTCTTCAACCTCATCAGGTCCTGGACCTCGATATCCCAGGATTCCTTGAACGCGCGGAATGCCACTCATGACCATCAAGCCCTGCTTCAGTCTTTGCCATTGTTCGTCAGGCTTGGAAGCCTATCATGCCCATGGCTTGCAGAGGTGGCAATGGAGAAGGGTTGCGAATATATTTCTTGAATTTTTTTCGTTTAGTTTTGTTTTTTTTGTTTTTCGTGTTTCGTGGTAGGTGCAGTACTTTGTGCACCTTGCAAAGCACATTTCGTGGCAGGTGCAGGACTTTGTGGGCCTTGGAGTGCAGAGTTTGTGGCAGGCGCAGGACTTTTTGTGGGCCTTGAAGTGCAGATTTCGTGGCAGGTGTAGTACTTTGTGGCCCTTGGAGTGCAGATTTTGTGGCAGGCGCAGGACTTTGTGGACCTTGAAGTGCAGATTTTGTGGCAGATGCAGGACTTTGTGGGTGTGGAAGTGTAGAGTTGTTTGTGGGCCTTGCAGTGCAGATTTCGCGGGAGGCGCAAGACTTTGTGGACCTTGAAGTGCAGATTTCGTGGCGGATGCAGTACTTTGTGGATGTTGAACTGCAGAGAGATAGAAAGATAAATTGATAGATAGATAGATTAGATTAGATTAGATTAGATTAGATTAGATTAGATAAATAGATAGATAGATAGAGGAGGCATATTTGCTTGGTTAGAAAGTTTTGCACCGGGGAGTTCACCATAAAATATTGATTTCGTGGCAGGCGCGGGTGTCGGGGATGAAGTGCA